TATAGCACACAGAGTTGCTATGGACCAAAAGAAGAAGGAACAAATACTCAAAAAGGCCCAGCAAGAGGCAGAAAAGGCAGAAAAGGCTATCCAACGCGCCATAGCCAAGGATATGCGCGAAATCAATGTAGAAATGGCTCGAATGGCCAGAGTCAATCCTAAATTGTTTACATAATGCCTATTTGAGCTATTTCAATCAATTTTATCTTAAAAATGGCGACAGCAACGTTGAATTGCTCGTGGGCTCAAAATGCCAAGAATTTGTGTTGCAAATGGTGACCTGTTGCAAAAGCTGACATCCCACGTTACCAGACTTCATTGAGACCTAACGTAGTATGCTTGCTCCAGAGGAACAATACATCGACCACTCCCCCAAAATGACAGCGCTTTTAGGTTTCGAACCTAATTAGTAGATGTACTTTTCATAGCAGACTGCTCCAGCTCACGTTGAAATCTGGCCGCATCAATATTTCCCAGCCTTCTTGAAGCAGACATCGAGGGCCGACGCCATCCCATCACCTACCTTTCGCGCGGTAGAAGTCCCGAGGCAGCCTGAGGTCCTTCTATATCCCTCTCTTCACCCCGGCACTTTAGGAAACAGACCTGAAGTGTTGTTTACGTCGACCACTGAGGATCCGGAGAAAATGCTTTAAGGATCTAGAATGAACGTCTCTCATTTTGTGTAATCGCTCAAATTATTCTTCTCTATAGATATAGATATCAAAATCATAATCTCTCCGCTTTTGACGGCAAGATTTCTCTGATGATTATACCGTCTCATTCGTGCGTTCTGTGACAGTTTCATAGAGCTCACTGGTGCACATCTGTCCCGTACCGCGCCAACTCAGGGTACCTGGTGGACCGAGATGCACTCCCTTGGCCATACAATCAAGCTCAATGCTACCGCATTAGATTTCCATCATATCAATTATATGTAGATGCAGAAGACGCAGGGCATCGGTTGCCTGCCTGGCCGCCCGCGCATTCTAGCGCTGGGAGAATGAAACAATTCCTACGTCAAATTCATGCTTCCAGTCAAGCGAGCAATGCTCGGCAAATCACGACCACTGCCAGGTAACAACAGCAGAGGCATTGAAAGAAGGCATAGAGAATAAAAACCCAGGCTTCCCATCCACTCGATCCTGGTTCTGTGTCTTAATATACGGAGGAAGCTCAAAGGAGGCTGACTACCTCGAGGCAAGGGCAAGGGGCAAGGGCAAGGGAAAGCCGCGAGGTTTACGCCTACATCCATGTTTCCAAGATGCAGATGACAGACGGAGCTGATTGAACTAAATCAGCAAGCAATGCTTGTCTTGAGCTGGGATTTCAGTGTGTGAGGGCCGCCCGCTTGGTGGTATTGGTATAGTGATGGTGCTTGGTATGTGTACCTATAGATGTTAGCAGGTTCGGTGTCTATAGCTGGGCGTCTAGTGGTAGGGAGGGAATCAATGATCCAATAGCGGGTATGAACTGGCAGGATTCGAGAGGTCGTTACCCTTCAGTCAATCATTCGTTGAGTACCAGAATATAGGTATCGGTAGGTCGGTGTCAGTCCATAGCAAGTAAGTACCATACAGTATAAGACCAGGCTACCCTTACTTCGACATTTGCTGCACTTGCTGGATATAAACGAGAATGTATGTACTTGGTTGATTATGAGATTTGTATCTAATGTACTTAGAAATTACGTATGTGCGGTATGGCCACAGGGTACAAAGAAATCTTTGAGTCCCTCCAGTGCCCAAACATAGAATCAGAATATAGGTTATGTCCATGCTCAACCTGCCAACGAAATACAGATTTCCCTACCCATTTCGTTCCAGGTCTTATTTGCCAAAGCCTTTTCCTGCCCTAAATACAAACCTCCTCCTAAACCAAAGCAAACAGCCTCTGAACCGAATTCGGATCCTCGATAAAATTGCAGGTCCTAGCCGGTGGGGCAAATTCTTGCGCAGCCAAATCCTCGCTCGACGGCGCACTCTGCGGCGCCAGATTGAGGATCCTGAACTGTGACTGGGGGACACTGCGATACCAATTCGCCGGAGGGTCGCCAAGACACTCTCCTGTAGTGACAGGTCGGTAGCCACGTGATTGCAGGCGTCGAATTTCATATTCAGCCAGAGTATAGACAGTCTCGCGGTGAATGTCGTGATTCAGGACGATGTAGCTGGCTGAACCCGGATCGCGAGCGGTGAACTCGTCAAAAGTTCGTTGAGAGTTGCCGATCAACTCTGGAGAGTTATTGGCATAGTCTCTGGTGTCAAGATTAGTGGAGATCACGTGGTAGCCTAGGTCGGCCATGTCTGCTTGGGAGGCGCTATCGAAGGCTAGGTAAGGAGGGCGCATGTAGGTAGGGAAGACGCCGAGGATGTTGGCGAGGGCTTGTTCGGTTCTGTACATCTCCTCCCTCCGAGCCGCGGAAGAAAGAGTGGTGAGATCTGGATGGCTCCAGGTGTGGGAGGCGATCTGATGGCCTTCGTTATAGGCGCGTCTGATAATGTCAGACCATTGGCCCACTTGATCGATGTCTCCGTTCCCATTGCTACCAACGACGAAGAAGGTGGCTTTGACATTGTACTGGGCCAGCACATCTAGGAGATGGGGTGTATAGATGTAGGGCCCATCGTCAAAGGTAAGGGCTATGTCGCCGTTTCTGACGCAGTTGAATATGACGCTGCCGTATGGCACAGAACCAATCTTTGGTCTCGGAACGTCCCTGACGGACCCACTACGGGGGCCTTGGGGTGGACCTTGAGTTGTAGTTGAGCCGCCTCCACCGTCACAGTTTCCAAAGTTAGGTTGACATGCTGCAGCACAGTACTCGGGGCCTCCGCCACACCAACCCCATTGTGAGCAGCATGGAGCTGAACTGGGGCACGTGTAGCCGTTGGCAGGCCCACATGACCCATCAGGACTGACTGCTCGCTTTGCATGGTGATATGGATGAGCAGTCACCAAGCCCGTGGCCAAGAAAGCAGTAAAGAAAGAACGGTAATGCATATTGAATTTGGCTGCGCAGCATGAGATGCAAGAGATAGACGCGAAGGGCGGCAGCCTATATAGCACTGGCAAAGGAAATAGGAATAGGAGGGTGGTCGGGAGAGGGGGCAGGCAGAATGAAATACGAGTGGATCATCAGAGCTTTCCTATGTTGTACAAATGCTCACCCATATCAAACAATGGTAAGGGTAGCCATTGAATATATTAATAGCCTGCGAGGCAGCATGAAGCGCGTGGGTATGGGTGGTTCAAGGACGGCTCACCTATCAGCAAAGAAGAAACTTCCCAAAAAGCTCTTAAGTGACAAGCCGGCTCTTCAGCTGCAAGCCACTGATTAGCTGGCACTGTACCACCAATCCGACTACTAGTGCATAAACAAGTAGGGTTCGTGCCGCGTGATTTCGCTCACAGGTTCGTCCGAGACAAGATGATGTGGTGAAGGGTTAGGAAGCATGGTGATCAACGAATTGCAGGTGATCAACGAGTTGCCGGAGCTCTATCGTACCCAGCTGAGAGTCGTCGCGTGAGCCTGCCGATGGAGACAGCTGGATGAAGGCGAAGGACTTGGAGAGGCTGTGAGGCTGTAAGGCTCCCAGTGGCTGAGGCTGGTAAGCAACGGGCACCTTACATCGTAGTTACGCATCTAGCGTTTAGACTTTGGTAGGGATGGATGATCTCTGCTGTCTGACCGCGTCTCGGGGGCAACGAGGCTCAGCCTTAATTGTCGATCCTGATCCCGGTCCTCGATGCGCATGATGTCTCTTCTCGACTCTTTGCGCATGCAGTAAGGCCTACCTATCGATAAACGACCCGCTATTCAATGGGCACGTCTGAGAGGCTGGTGCTGCTGATATCTACCACCAAAGTTGTCAGGATGGATGGCGAAGGGCAGGTGGTGGATGATAGTAACTATTAGTCGTACTGCGTAGTAAATGAATGGCTGGAACGAAAAAGATGATATCATCATCATCACACTTGAAAAGAAAATTTGGAGTATGCCGCTCTGTGCTGTAAGACTGCCCCTCCTAACCAGTGTTTAACCTCAACAAACTTGCTACTATTGTCTAATTTATCATTTTATCGCGTCTCATTTTTCATCTCATCCGTGCTCGCAACTTCTTCCTAACGCTACACAATTCCAGCTCCGAATCCTCCATAGCATCCTCTTACGATGGCATCTCTCTTCAACACCACCAGCAACATCTCCCTGTACACCGTCCCCTTTGCCTGGGCACTCTGCCTCGCTCCCCGTGTCTATGCGACTCAACTCTATGAGAAAGCATCTTCTCGACAATTTGACAACCGAGAACCACGATCCTTCACGAAGATGGTAATGGAAAATCAGAGCATTGACTCGGCCACCAAAGGTCGCATCATTCGTGCTGAGAGTGCCCAGCAGAATGGCTTCGAGAACATCGGCTTCTTTGCTACCGCTGTTGTTGCTGGAAACCTGGCGCGTCTTGATACTACCTGGCTGAACACATTGAGCGTCGGCTATGTCATCAGCAGGATTCTATACAATCTGATCTATCTCAACAATACCACTGCAGGCCTTGCGACGACGAGAACTGTGACCTACATTAGCGGAATCGGAATGATTTGGACAATTTTCATCATGGCAGGGAACAAGCTACGCTCTTCGCCTTGGGAGATATGAGTGTTGGAAGATGGACTCGACATATAAATCCAACACCACGCTTTTGTGCAATTAGCAATCAGCCAATCTTTTTTCTCTATTTCGTACTAGTGCAGCTTCGTGTTGGTGCTTGACAGGCGGCATTGACACCTGCGAAGCATATGCGAGAACTGTGACAAGCCACAGCTGGCCGTTAGCCTCATAAACTCTCGTTCCCTTTCCAAGGGGAAAAGGGCTACCCAAAGCACCGCATCCGTGATTATGGCCCTGGCGCAGAGGGTGAATACCTCGTCGAAGAGGCGCAATCGTAACTAGCAGTCGCAGGATTCAGCGTGGTTGCCTAGTTAGGTAGCTGCTAACCCGCACACCCGAAGATAAGCTGTGGATGGAAGGCTGTTTCGGGTCGTTTGTCCCAGCTGGAAGAATGTGAGGGAGCAATCGGAACGGGAGGGAGTAAATGGTCTGAGCAGGATGAGTTGGAGGGTACGGTGGCTTGGGAGGAATTGATTCCGGCATTGGCTGTATGGAGGTCAAGGAGCGGGAGGGGAGGAATAATCGTTGCGGTGTTGGGAGTATAGGCGCCTCATAGGGAGGGTGACGATAGACTGAGCAGGTGCTGTAGACTAGGTACGAAAGGACCGTAGAAAGCATTTGACGAGGGGAAACCTTAGTGGTCTCCCGTGCTCGTTTGTATACTATATTATCTACCATATGCATAACATATCAAGCACGTCACGATGCCGCTTTGTCCCAACTACAAAGGCTGTATTGTGCCACAACACATCCCGCTTTCGCTTCCAAGCATCTCAACGGCAAACCCAGAGCGCCATCCCTTGTCCATATTCAATCTCCATCCACCCACCCATCCCTCTCAGTTCTCCATCCCAGCCTAAAAATCCCCCTTCTCCCAAGATTGTACAAAATGGTCCAATCAATCAATCCATCCAGTCAATTACCCCTCGTCCTCGCTGTCCGCGGCCTGCGAACTTTCTCCACATAAACCGTCTCCCCTCCGCCACCAGACGTACTTATACTCCTCCGCCTCCGCCTCCTGCTCCCGCCGTTATCATCACTGTAGCTTACCACCGTCGCTCTCCTCTCACTGCTATCCCCTTGACTGCCGTTGCGGGCAGAGTTTAGCATCCAGAGCAGTAGCAAGACGCCGACGATGGAGCCGATGACTATTCCGGCGATTTCGCCGCCGGACAGACAGTCACATGCTGCTGCTGGGGTGGTGGACGGGGGTGTGGTGGTGGTTGTTTGGCGGGCAGAGAGGAGGGGTGTGGGTGCCTGGATAGAGGGATCACCAGATCAGTTAGAGTCGGTTAGTATCTAAAGGGCGGTGAAGCTGCTGGTGGGATGGCTTGTTCTGGTGACCGGTTGTGTCAGGTGAGAGGGAGGAAGGGGCACCCACCATTTTGTCCTTTGCCACGCGCCTTATCTTGCACCTAGAGCGTAAAGTCCGAGCGATACCGGTTTGTGGCCACGAGTCCCAGTTAGAACTTTCCCTGTAACTAACTGCTCCTGCTCGTGATCCGGCCGCGCGTGATAATTGCGTCCAAAGAGCACGTGTTAACGGTTTTCAACACTGACGGACTAACTAGCGACAGTGAGGGCCAACAGGAAGGGTGGGAGAAGATGACATGGCAGAAGATGCGAGCGGTACACGGTACGTGACGTATTGCGGATGATGCCAGTTCCAGCACAACCCATGGCCGGGGCGGACGTGCAAGCATGATGTTGATTACCCATCCCATTCCGAATTCTGCCACAGCTTGGGCAAATAGCATGCGTCATGCTCCATCAATGTTTGGTCATTGTTACTTACGTAGTACTCCGTAGCAAGGCTCGGTTCGGATTGCACTCGCTGGTTCGGGAGCTTGTTTTGTTTGGAGGTGCAGTTCGCCGGAGTTTGGCTTTAACTAACTAGTTATGGCTTGTCTCAGCTGTTCCTAGTGGGGCGGGATGCACCACTAACAGAACTTGGCAATATCTAAGCGCTTGGCAATATCTAAGCGAGGTTGCTCCACTTGAAGTTGCTCAAAAGCTGATTGATCGCAGCTGAGGATGAAGAAAATCCATCCTCCTATTCTTTATCATGTTGATACCAGAGAGTAATTCGTATCCTTCGTCCACCGAGGTTCACTGCTCGATCATAGACATGCTGGACACGCTGCAAGACAGTGTTTGCTCTAGGCAATTCGACGTGCATGATTTGGGCAAGGGGGCTGGAAGCTAGGTTGTTTGCTGACGGGCTGCTCGGCATAATCACCAATGGCTGGGGAAAAGCATTGTGTCCTTCCAGCCAGGGCAAAGCATAGACATCTCCTATTCGAGCCAGAGCAGTTGCCTGGCATTTATTTGGCCTGCTGCCATGAACCTGCTGCTCGTCATTCCTCTTCGCGATGGTCCGTCACAATCTGCTGGATCTTGAGGAACAGCAGACTTGAAACGGTTGTCGTTCTCAAGGCTGTCACGACCACCCGTGTTTGTCCAAGATGATCCTGACATTACATTGATGGATTTGCGTGCCAGTGATAGAACAAGTTGGATCCCAACCGGTTGCCCGCCCTGCGAGTCAGGAAGGATTGAGTCTCTCACGAAGTACATTTTTGGTATTCAAAAAGGGCCCTGGAAATTGCTTCGATTTGAGTCTGGAAATCTCTTGACTTGGGCTTTCAAGCTTCACCCTCGACTGCTGGGTCTCTGCCACGTTGCGAGACTACAACTGAAGAAAGGAGGTCTGCGTCTCCAAAGCTCCAAACTCTGGCATTCCTTTAGCTATTAAACGTTAAGGTACTGACCATGCACAATCTGGAAAGTGCAGAGCCATTGCCAGCTCACCATGAGGAAAGTATGCATTTGATTGTGCCCAGACGGTGTTAGTTGGCAGTGATAACGCAGGGGCACCACTACGAGTTGAGATATTTCAGGTATTCAACCAAAGTTATCACAGAAGTGATGTTCAACAAGAATTTGTGCTGATACAAATCCATGCTTGGGCGGCGTGTCACTCAACGTGGCAGAAAAGCAGCAAGATGCTGAAAGGTAGGGGGTGAAAAATTGGTCGGTGAATTTACCGTATACTACCACTCTCGCAGGGATGGTTTCAATATTCATTGTAGGGATAAAAGATGGCAGGGAGAGAGGGAGACTTTCGTCATAATATCAGAGCAGTTGAGTACACGACGATTCCTTGTTCCGTATGTGCTCTTGATATTAGCTGGCGATGCCTCCTTGTGTCCAGGACGTGAAGAAGCATATATACTCGAAACATACCACATGGTGAAGCAAAATAACCCGTCTCACTTCCATACCTCAAGAAGCGCTATATCTGCCACTAACCAAGCTCCTCGCTGTATTTACTTCCTTCCACACTTGAGCAGGACTAGCAAGAGCTGTCCCATCATCGGCAAAAGGATCAGCAGCAAATTCCCTTGACTTTTCGGCTCCCGCTAGTAGACTCACACCTAATCTGCTTCCAGTTGTGCCGGGCAATTCCCACCGCGCCTCGATATACCCTGGTCGGGCTCTCGAGCCTGTGGTGACGAATCTGGCCAGCAACTTCTGCTGCTCGCTCGATACGACCAATTCAGGCAGTTTCCATACAACGACGCCTTGCTTGCGTTTGAATGCTGCTCCGATCTGAGGTGCCATCATCGCGCTCGTGGCTTTGCCGGCATCAGCGGAAGGGTCGAGCGTGATTGATAGAGTGACATTTTTGAGTGTGATAGAAATGGTGGAGGACTGAGTTTTATTTTCCGAGAGGACAAAGGCTGGGTTCAGAGTATACATCACAATGACTGACACCTGTGTGTCTTGAATTTGCCAGGCTGGTGTGATGAGAACAGGCGAATATACGGACGGATTCGAAGGATCGAGATGGAGTTGGTATTTGAAAGCCACAACCGGAGTGGGCCGCTTGATAGCTGAGAGCGTCACAATGTACTGTCCTGCACCCTCCTCAGAAATTGCTTTCTCCTTACCCTTCTCTGATGCTGCCGCAGAGACAAAGCCCGGATTGGGGGCAATTTTCTCGAGCACTTGGAAATTGTCCAGCCTGATCAGTTCTGTGTCTGACGGCGATTCGGATGAGTTGTATGCTAGCGCTACCTCACCAACGACAAAAGACTTGTTGACAGTTCCATCTGAGAACCAGGTGCTGACAGTCTCCACGATTGAAGAGTTCAGACCCGGCTCATGCATTTCTGGGTGATGGACTAGTGTACCCAAGCTCTGGGCTGAGTGTACAGAGGTCGTATCTGACATGTTCCTCTCTTCTGGTAATAGGGCTGGTGCCTTTATAGGTGAAGCGGTTGTAGAATCTGCATAAGAAGAAGCTGCGGTGCCTACAGTCACAGTCTCGGCCGCATATACTGCTGTTGCTGGTGCGAGACCTGCTTCGGAGCCAGGAGAGATCTCATTCTCGGGTAATCGGGTTTCTGGATTCGGAACGAAAATTGTATTTCTAACATCTCGTCTACCACGCATACTGCCGCCCAGACGATTGATTCCTGAAGATTGTGCTTGCTAGATGATGATAAGTAAAATAGCTTTTGTTCTGTTGTACAGAAGCAGACTTACCAACCGCAGCTGATTGGCCATGTTGTCCATGGCTTGTTGAGCTTCAATTTCATCTTCCTGTATAGGTTGATCACGAATCTTAAGCTTTCGGATAGCTTCTTCGTTCTCTCTAATTTATGGTCAGCGACCACGAGCGTTAACAATGGTCTGGACTCACGCATTGGTTGCCGCGGCTTCTTGCTGAGCACGAGATACGACATCCATGTGCTGGACAGGAGATGGTGGTGTGACACTGAGCTCGTGTAACGGCTAATGATAGTGAGCAGAATTTCTCTTGGGAGACTTTGAACAGAGTATACCTGATTGAGGGTGACGGTGTTGGTGGTTGTAGCTTGGTTGACAGAAGCATTCGTTCCAGTGACATCAACATGGTTTTCTGCAGAACTTGTGCCATTCACCAATGCTGAACCCATGTACGTCTGTTCTTGTCTTACATTCTCTGATCTGGTTGATGGACGGTTGGCCGTTTCGGGACGTCGCATTGAGGATGTCGGTCTGGTTGTTTCTTCTGAGGTGGTGGGGGCCATATTTCGACTTGTAACTGACACAGCCTCACTATCTGGCTGGCTTCTTGAGGAATCTCCCCTGCGGAAAGGCATGAGAGATGACCGATTTCGTTCCTTCTTTGGTTTCTCTGCGGATGGGATGGGAGGTGGTGCTGCATTCTTTCTCCTCCCCATGACAGTACCTAGACGACTTTTCAAGCCTTGTTTCTTAGGTGTCTTTTTGGTTTCTGACCTCAAGTTAATCAGCTGTAGGAAAGAAACAGGCCAAATACGCACCTGGTGTAAATCCTCCTTGACCAGTCTCATCGGAAAATGTAGGTGTTGGACGCGTTCTATCACCTGTGAGCCTTGGTGGAGGAGGCATGGGAGGCGCTCCTCCACCCGCAGAACTCAATCGGCGGAGAGTGCTAGATGCCGAGCTTTGCCTTCTTGAAAGGGGTGTCCGGGGAGGATCTGTACTGATTCGTGCGGCAAAGGTCTTGATTTCGTCCGCTGTCTCAATATTCAGCAGAGCATTGAGACACAGTTCTGCAGGCTTCCTGTTCTGTTCTATACTATCCACCTCATGGGTCTGAAACTGTGTGAGGACATCCCGCAGGTGGTTGACTCTGACTTCATCTAAGGACTGGAGCTGTTCAAATACGTAGGCTGCTTGGGTTTCCCACTGCTGGTTTGCATCGTCCACAGAGGAATTGGCATTAGCGGCGCGAGCAGATAAGAGTCTCCCAGACTTGTCCTTCAGCTTGTCCGCCTTTTTCTGTGCATTTTCAAAATCTTTGGCTATCGATGTCAAGTTGCCCCGTACTGTGCTCATGGCCTGCATCTCCCGGTTCTTGCTTGCAAATTGTCGTAATGGTGTCTCTGCATCGATCTCGATCTTCTGCGCCAGGCTTTCGTGGGACTGGGCGAGAGATTCAGTTGACTCGACAATGCGCTGCCAGGGCAATTGGAAAATTCTGATGCTGTTAGCAAAGCCGAGAGTGTCTGAAGAGCCTGTGCTACCCAAGCGATGCACCTCCACTCCTTTGCGGCCTTCTGGCAAGCTTCCGGAGACCCTGTGCATATGTCTCCTCGACTTTCCGTCTTTCCTAGAGGAGTGTGAGCGATCGAGAAAGGGATGCGCGGAGATATATGTATCCACCAGAAGCCAGTCGGCGATATCATCGTTGGTCTTTGAAATGACCTCAATGCGATCATTCAGCACATTCACAGCTTGACTCGGTTCTAAAGCGGACTGTTGATGCTATGAGCAATCATGTGCAAGGACGATAAGACTGTCGCCACTGACCAATAAAGCCGGATATTCTTGCCTTGGGCTACCCATGTTGTCGACCCAGACATGGTACACAACTCGCCTTCTCACCTTCGGTTACTGTGCACTGACTCTGACTTGGCGAACCAAGATGCGACAATGAGGTTTGGATGCGCGATCAGCCTGAGATAGATTGCCTACCTACTTCGGAACACTCCGGTGCGTGGCAGTAGGCTGCCTCGTGGGAATTCACTTTGGAAAAATAGAGAAACGACCTTCATTCAATCATTCAACTTGAACAGGTCGAGCCTTCTTGCTTTCTTGCTATCTTGCTTTATGAGCTTAGAATGCTGTGTCTGGCTGTCTTAAAGAGTGAAGTAATGAGGCTGCCAGATTATGCCTCCGCATAGTTACTGGCAATCTTGTCTACACACGCACTTTCGCTAGATGAGGAGGTCTCTGGTGAAGTACCTTACCTTACCTAAGGGTATCTTAGATCAATAGGACCTTCATCGGCTTACGTCTCAAGCAATTATGGATATCAGCTTTACAATGCGTTTGGGCAACATTATGTCCTTGTCTGTGCTTTCTTTCCCTTTTGATGACAACATGTGTCAATCGAGCACAAGACTTATTTTTGTTCTTTGCCTAGGACTTCGGTTCTGATGGGAGTGACGAATAGTCTTGATTCTACGGTAGCCCAAGCCTACGCAAAAGAGCTCGAGGGGCAAATCTATGACCAAGTGACATCGAAGGTGGTGTGGCCAAACTGGAGTTTTTCTCTTACCATGAGCTGACAGGGTGCTTCAAGGATGAATATGATACTGCTTGCACCAATAAAATAAATGAGCTGAAGCAGCAGAGCCCTCTTGTTGAGTCAAGGGCATCTGAACCTGAAGCAGATGGGTTGTACCTCCAGGGCCCAGACTATGGACCATACCGGAAAGCAACCTTCTACAAGCATGGTCGTTTCTCTAGCGTGTTCAAAGCTGTTGATAAGGATCAGGTTGATGATATGGATGCGCCAACATCAAACCTCGTAGCTCTGAAAGTCACAACGCCATCTGCAATGACTCCGCCACACGATTCCGAGCGAGAAGCTAGAATTCTCCAGGAAGCCAGATCTGAGTCTGTCATCCAACTCCTCTCGACTATGTGGCAACCTGGTGGCCGCCTGGTCCTTGTCTTTCCTTTCGTACCGGTGGACTTAGAGACATTGATGCAAAGCTCATCAGTGGAGCAAAAGGATGTGAAAAGTATAGCTCGTGATTTGTTTAAAGCGTTGTCCCATCTGCATTCTCTACAGATCATCCATCGTGATGTGAAACCATCCAATATACTGCTTCGATCACAGACCGGCCCTGCCTATCTTGCCGATTTTGGCATTGCTTGGTCGCCAAATGATCCAGCTTCCGAACCCGCTCAGGAGAAGATCACTGATGTGGGAACAACATCGTACCGCCCACCAGAGTTGCTGTTCGGATACAAGGCATATGACACGTCACTCGATCTTTGGGCAGCTGGCTGCACGGTCGCTGAGATGATCCGACCTTACCATCGAAGTATCTTTGATGCAGGAGATCTCGGGAGTGAGCTCGCATTGATCAGATCCATCTTCTCGACATTGGGCACTCCAGACGAAGAGTCGTGGCCTGTAGGTAGCACTAAAGCAGAAATGGCTAACCAGCTCACTAATGATACGTTTCCACAGTCAGTCAAACAGTTTCCCGACTGGGGCAAGATGCGGTTCGTCGATTATCCTGCGAAGCCTTGGTCAACGATTCTCGACGGCGCTATCGATCTGGAAGTGGAATTTGTGAGCAGTCTTGTTCAATATGAGGCTACTCGGAGGATGACCGCGGCTCAGGTATGAAACTCTCTAAGCTTTCGGCTTTTGCCAATTGGCGACAATGCTGAAATGTGTAATAGGCTCTGAGCCATACGTTCCTGAAAGAGGTCCTATGAAGGCTGGAGTAGCTATGTGTGACCCGATATTGCCACGGTGTACGCAAACCATCTGCCGAAATACATAGCGATTCTCGATTAGTCATGCAGATAGAGGGATCAAGCCCGTACATTCTAAATTCTCAACTCCAGACTTCAGCAAGTTTCGCGCTCAATGTTGGCGCGACTTTTTTCCTTGGCACAAACGTTCCTAGCTGCTCAAACACCATCCGTTCTCTAGCTTCGCCGTCCAATTTTTCGAAGGCCTCGACGAAAGCGTATGGTGTTTTCCACTTCTTCTGGATCTCCAAGGCTTTCTCACCCGTCACACCACGAGTACACATCAGCATCTTCAGGAATACATCTCTCAGGCTCATCGCATCAGATTTCGAGCATAACGATGAGAACGCGGAGAATGTGATGTAATGTCCTTGGTCCGGCTGCTCAACCCGCAGCTTTGTTTGGAGCGGCAGATAGGTCTGAGGGTGCAAAACTGCTGAAGGTATGACATGCAAGCTCTTTTTGTCATATATCTCCTGCAGCATGTTTGTCATCTTCGCCAAGTACCTGATGGTATCATCTAGCTTCCCTGTTTGTTTGACGAAATAACCATTTACAACTTGCGTATTGGCGATTGCGCTTGAGACTGCTTCACCATACTTGTCCCCTCTTTCTGCCGAAATGGAGAAATCCTCGATGATGTACGTCACGTTTGGAATCCCAGATCGTCGCAACCGAAACTTCTGCTCATGGAATCGGCCGTCCTTGATGCTGAAGATGAGGTCGTCCAGGCGCTTGCGCTCAATGATATGGTCTAGCACAAATTCATTGCTTCCTTCTTCGTCATCGCCAATGTTGGCTCTAGCGAGTAGCTGTTCATGAGTCGATTTTGGACGGGCAATCCAAAGGGCATCTCCCAGAGGAAGGCCGCGCGTGATGGGTGATATACCTTTCTTCTGAAGCTCCTCAGATATGTACTCCCTGTCTTTGAGAGTACGGACTTCACGAGAGTCAAGAACAAGATTAACGGTGCACGAGCCAGGTGGAAACACGATGGGAGAGAAATTTGGGAGCGTATCTACTTGCAAATGCATTTGTTCCCCAATTTGACTCCTCTGTCCTAACGGGGCATCGGATTGATGTATTTCGTCGGCAGAACTTATTTCGTCGAGGTCAATTAGCCCCTGGTTGTGCGCAACGTCCCTTTTGTTCGACGTGGCAGCAGTCTTTGTCTTCCTTGTAGGTCTTTCGGAACTTTCCTCTCTGGAAGGCCCTTTCACCAACGAATTGAGAACGGAACCCTCCTCTGTGCCTTTGATCCTCTTGGCCACTTCCCATCCTTCTTCTGTGAGCATGTAGCGCCGGAGCGGTCTCCCATGCTCATATACAAGATCCTTGCCAATTAAGGTCTTCATTGAATTCCATGCCGTGAAGAATCTTGTCGGATCACTTGGCGCTGTAAAGGAAGAGTCGCAATGCGGCTGTGCCAACTCGATCGTATTGGCCTTGGTCAGTCCCTGCGACGTGTTCTCACCAATTGTTGCAAGGGCAACGATAAGAGCATAAGCCCCAGATCGCAACGTTGGAACGTATGCTTTGACCTTTCGAACTCTCTTTGGTGCTGGAGCCAGACCTTCATCGAGCGGCGCAGAATCGTTCAACTGCCGTTTTGTGACACCACGGCGCACCTTGGGCATAGGGAGCCCATTCTCAGTGCAATGCGCCTTCAATTTATCGGTCAAGCGGTCGCAAAGCTTAGGTCCCAGGCCATGAAGCTGCTGTGCTTCAGCTGGGTGCTCAAAACGTAGAGGACAGGCTTTCATGGAATCGTAAGCTTTCTTGTAGCTACAAAGATATCAGCATAATCAGTTGTCTACGGGGCTGAGGTGTTCCGACACAGTAATGCCCTTGCTGTTGCGTTCCCGAGCTTGGTCAAGCCATTCTTTGATCCAGCCCAGCAGCAGAGGATTTGCGCAGTCTTCGGACATAATTATCTTCCACCTTTCAAATGGCTCGGAAAATGCTTCTATTCTGCTTCAAAGACCCTGTTCGGCTCCTCCATCGACTTGCTGTGCTTGTACTGGGGAAATTATAAATGTTATTCACAATTGAAATTCACAATGGAGAGTTCAGTACGGAGTACTTTCGCGGCAGTAAGAACACGCCAACGCGCGTAGGCACGTGCCCGATTCTCAAGTGAAATCAACCTCCAACTTGGTACACCCCCATATCTTGTTTAGCAACACCACGAAATTCCTACACCCAGAATCTGTCCACTCATGTACTCAATACCGCAGTACTACTTAAGTAATTGTGCCGGACGTTACCAATGCAGGAACCAGCTGTCATCGGCTAACGCGCTGCTTCGGTGGTAAACCCTTTCACAACGACCAAAGTAGTGCCAACCGCACCGATTGATGCTTTGAAAGCCATCTACTGCGCAATCTGAGGCATTCGACAAGTCTGAAGACTGAAATTGGTTTCAGTTCTCCACGCGCCCGCTTTTCAGTTTTCACTAATCAGGTCCTCTTGTCCCTGAAATCCCCATGATGAGTCTTGACGTCGATGAACAGGGCCCAGGGAATACGCTATGCCCGTTCCCGACAACCAGTCTCTTCCTATCTTACCAACTGCAGATCCGATCGAGATTGAGGAGACTGATCGCAGACTATAATGGTTAAAGTACGAGATGCAAAATGTACATCAAATCGGGACCTCCGCACTGTCAAAGGAGATCCCCAGATAGTGTAAGCGGCTTGCAAGCAGTGTGAATCTCAGCGGCCATGACATAATAATCATTTTAGGCAAAGTCTATCCCATCTAGAAATATTGAATGTCTATTATATCGCTTCAATGGTGATGACGACACAGCTCATAACCAGACGAACAGAGTGATGTCAGTGGGGTGGATGTCCAAGCCGTTCTATATAATTGCGCTTGGATACCCACCGTATCTTTTTCTAACTATCACAATACTCCTCTTTCAGTAAACAGTGCATTGATACACCATCAATACAGCTCTCAGAACCTGTCACTTAGCATTACTTCTTTGGCATTACAACATGTCTGCCGATATTCCTCAAGGCGACGTCATGGACAATGACTACAAGTCACGTCCCGGTCAAAGCCACATCCCAGTCCAGGGTGACGAAAAGCCAGTCGAAGATCCAATCGACCCTGCGACTGCCGACAGTGATGAGCAGCTTGGTAAGCTTCTTCTCCAGATTTGTGGTAAAGACTAACAAGTTATCAGCTAAGGACGAAGATGAGGCCATTGACAAGAGCAATATTATTGGGGAACGTACTCGCGGCGCAAAGCCAGCTGGTAGCTACAGTGAGCCTGGTGATGAGGAGGGTCTTCCAGGTCCAGATGATGGTACCAGTGCGGTTGCTAAGAGCGGTTCTTGAGCGAGCTGGAATCGAGGCGCATGTCTTTTAGGCCGGCATATCATGTCTCGTTATCCATCGAACGCTATTGCGTTGCTTTGCTCATGGGGATATCATTTTAGAGCTACAAGATCATTGCTGCTACGTTGCTCAATTAACCTCAAAATGCTATGATATCTCATAACATGAATCTTGAGAAGATTACTCTTCTACCCTTTTGTGCCTTTGGAGTTGGTCCAATCTTTTGTTCCCGTGGCTTTCTCCTTAGCAAACTCTCGTCCTCGACTAATTTTTCTGAATCCTCCAATTGTCGGATGATTTGCTGGAAGAATGTGTCAATGAACTCTCTCCTTGCTGTAAGGGCTTGACAGGCGCATTTCTGCTTCACTATGGTAAGCTACTACTAGTATGCACCGTTATAAGTATTATTTCAAACAATATTCGTGACCAGGGTGTCCATCGAATCAAAACAAAGCAAATCGAGGCCCCTGATTTGCTTTGATCACAGTTTAATCAAAAATCGTACTTTGCTTTGTTTGACTGGTTTGTCAAATCCAATATACTATAACTATTTCTAGGGATTTACCTGAATTCTCGTCCAGCTCGATGTCCGCCAAGACTATTATTATCCAGTATCAAGAAAAATCCTTGAATATTTCAAAATCAGGAACTTTTCTGTCAAGACTTTCGCAGTTTGACTAATTTGCCAAGCATTTGATTTGTCTTGATGGACACTTACTTTAGTTGCTCCAGACTATTTAGTAGTAAAGCATCTGTGCTGCGAAGTTGGGGTAAACAGGTAGTAACCCAGTACTACTAGTTAGTACTACTACTACTACGGTAGGAGGCATAATGTTTCGCACCTGCGCACTAGTAACTACTTGTAACGCCAAGATAGAACGCCACAAAAGTGCTCAATTAGGACTAGTCTAGGTTTTTCTGAATATTGAGTATGCCGCCCTTCTGCTTCTTTCACTGCCTGTATTCTCAAGGAGCTCAGTAAGATAGCTCTCAGGGACTGTATTCTAAGCTGCTAAAATCAGCAAAATGCGTGTAGAATGGCGACAGTGAGCATTCGTACAGAGCAACAGGGTATCTGTATGAGCACTGTTAATGACGTTACTTACTAGTGCGCAGGTGCGGAACATTACGCCTCCTACCGTAGTAGTACTACTAACTTAGTTAGTACTAACTGCAAATCGCAACGCGCCTACTCCGTACTAGAATATAACATAATTTGCCAACATTGAACTGTCTAGGAATCAGGTTCTCGGTCTGCATGTTATCGCAGAAAGACTTGTATGTATGACCTTAGCTCCTGGTTAGTATGAATTAAGCTCTTTCAGCAGCTCAATATGTCCTTGACTCGACCTGCGAAGAGAGCGCACCCTGCAACAGTCGACACGACGGAAACTGATGGACAGCAGAGCTTTCATAACACGAAAAGACCTTGCACAAGCATTCAAATCTAGTCGGAAGTAGGCTTCCAGCGACCGACCACCTTTGAGACACCCATCGAGGACCGACTGCGCGAGATCTCAGTTGTAGAACTTCGGGTGCCTTTGAAGGTCTTGGCTCAAACCTCTTCTGGAGTTCGCCAAGTCCATTTAAAATCTGTATGATGAAAAATGACAGGAGTAGCAAATTAAGGTCATCGGTTTCGATTACTATTCGAAATCATTCCGGAGAAAACTCAACAAATACCATTCCTCCCTATCAGGATTGCGGCAGTACTACCTTGCGTTTGATGTGTGCTATGAGATCGTCGATACCATGCAAGCCTTTGCAAGATAAGCTGGGCCGCTTGCGGCGGATGAAACGCGCCGGAATGCTCCCTCCAGGGGTTGTGAAGATTGACAAAACCATCTACCCGAGCGCTGGTAATACTCTGCCGTATGAAGTGAAAAAATAGCTTCAGCATGGAAGGCAGGTGACTGAGGCCATGCTCGCAATCGTGAGTGCTATGACGGACCAGCAGAGAGATTTGGTTCGCGAAGCTTGGAAGCCTGATGGCACAAAGCGTTTCATTGACACGTTGAACGAACCAGTATTGCTGTTGCAGGATGAATGCATATTTGAAGATCTTGAGGTTGTGTTAGGAGCTCTGGATGGGGAGAATGATGCTAGTGACGATGAGGACGGTCACGCGCGAGTAATGAAGACGAAGAGACGGATGGATACTAGTACGAAGTGCTGTCTGGCACCGAATTGGTCTTGGCCTATGCCGACAGCATGCCATTCCTCCTTCGAGCACCTTAAACTGGAACCTGCCACATCGAAAAGTTTAACTTGAACGATGTGCGTACCACCCATGTTCTGCAAACTCTTTCTCATGGAAGATACTCGTACTTCTTACTAGCGCCAGGCCGTTTATAGTACCAGTCAATTTTGGTGGACTTATTCTTCGATGTTGGGGGACCTTAAAAATCATGGTGTGCCTCTCTGTGGTATAAATATCGCCAATCACCTCAACTGAACATCTTACCTTCCTTCACTATCTTTCAAACATTCAAACATATCTTCTCCAGAGAAAAGCATTATGATGATTACACTACATTCATTTCTCACTTGGAACTCTGTATTTTGCGGAAGTATGGTTGCTAAACAAATTCCCAACAGTCACTGCACAGTGCGACCGGTGTATCTGGATTGTCATCTTGACTTCAGACCGATCAAGCGTAAAACTTCACTCGAATTACTTCCGAATGAGGTTTTGGCTGAAATATTTTCCTACTTGATCCCCAAAGAAAGAACAATTGATACCGAATTTCCGGAGGACCTCGAGATCAACCAGCGAATTGACTACCATCGTGACCACAATGAGCGCAATACACACTCTCCACGGCCCGACTCTAATCCACTGAATATCATGGCCACCAGCTCGCTTTTCTACCAAATCGGCCGTCAACATCCCACGTTCAAACGCCGCTCCTACTTTGCCATAATCTCGCCCAAGGCAATCAAATTCGAAGGTCATACAGACCGTTCCCTGGAACGTCTCCAAGGCACAATGCCCCTCTTGCAAAACCTCAAGCTTGTCTTGGACGTGGGGGACTGGGGTGTCAACATGAGAGATGGGCATGTCAACCGATTTCTTAGCAATTACGAACTGTTCTTCAGAAGGTTCGGCGGAGCTCGAATGACTATGCGCGCAGGAAGGCTTCAACTACGACTACAGGGTAACTTCGCCTGCGAGGAGGATGAAGAGGTGGAGGTCCCTGACTGTCTACAGGAATTAGGCGATCATTGTGTGGAGGCTTTGATTTCTGGTCGAGAAGAGGACTTGGAAGGTGTTATGCAGTGGTGGGACGATACGTGGATGGACGGAGGTGAGGGCGAAAGTCGCCCAGAAGGAGGCATGGCTGCGTGGGGACGATGTGTACGGAATGTTCAGATGGCGGACTTTTTCAGGTTGCTGGCTAGGTTCTTGTACAGTGAATGATGATGAGCAACAAAAACCAAAACCAAAACCAATTGCATATACGTGTCAAATGATTTAGATTGATTGGGGGGTTGATTGGGGACCTTGGCCCCACAAGTTATACAAGCGAAGATAGTCACAACTAATTTGGGGTGCTAGACTCGATTGGGCTGAAAGTGATCTTGGCCTCACCATATGAATGTTATACTTTAAGGCTCCTGTGATCTATTTCTTTGTCTCTGGAATTCATAAGAATCTTGTGGCGACACCTATTCTCAGATGTTTCCTATTCCATATTCCATTTTCTACCATCAAACTCCAATCGACTTTATCTTTGCATCACCAAGCTCGAGTTTACAATCAAATCTTACTTAACTGAACTTTTCTGCAACAAATCCGACAGTTTCATACATATCTCAACCGCCAAAGATTGACACTTACTCTGTACACGTGATTCACCAGGCACTGGCGTCTTTTCAGTCCCCATCAGCTTCCGTGAACAACATGGCGAGAGAGCAAAAGTTGAGCGGCGACAATATCGTACTTCTCCCTCAACGATCGGAAGCACAAGGTGACATCGCACTTGTCCGGCATCCTTCTGAATCTTGTCCAATCCCGAGATCAGATAGGAATAGCAAGCCTTTCTGGCGTCCCATAGAAAGGGCATCCGGCTTGTCGAGTGCAGACAGAGAGGCGGAAGAGGAGAGGTCGGAAACCAAAAAAAAGAAGTCCCCATGCTTCCGTAGGCTGGAATGGTCAGATCCACAACTAGGCACCTTAGGTGTACTGCCAGACGAACTTGTGATTGAGATCTGCAAATATCTAGTCCCCCAGGAGGTGCCGGGAACGGTCTTCGAGGGTAACTGCAAAAGATTTCGCGGAGCCCGCAAGAATATTCTTCACTTCATGCAAGCCAGCTCAAGACTGTACTGGATGGCGCGAGACCTCGAATGCTTTGGCAAGCGCACGTACAATTTTGCTGTTTCTGGGCTCGGATTTTCCTTCGAAGGACATCGAGATTGCCCTTCGAGAGTCATCAAAGCGGCATTGAAGAATGTTGAATCGGTAAAGGTTACTGTGGAGATAGATCTGGACCGAATGGCTGACGTCCATTATATGGAAACACTGGTTGTGGCCTGTCGCAAGATAGCGGGATCTATGCAGCACGTAAAGGGAACGGAGGAACGCCTGCAGACATACGACATTGATATCTGGTTATTGGACTCAAGATATGTTCCTGGAAAGCCTTCTCACCCCCGAACAGTGCTATCTGGTGGCACACCTGATCCATGGGAGGGGCACATTATCACGATTGACAACCTGTTGAGAAAGTTGTTGAAGCATCTGGTTGGAATTCAGAACATCCGGGTTGGAAACGTTCAGCTTCTAGCCCTGCCACTGACCTACCATTTCATGTGGAATGCCTCAACACCGCTAACAACGTATTCGATGGCCATAGAGGCGCAAGCGAGATGGCGAAGGGTACAGGCAGTGGTGGATGCTGGCGCTTACCTGCTCTCCGGCTGGGACATGAACGAATTGAAGTGGTGCACCGAGTTCTTGAAGATGTCTGACTTTACGGGATACTACACGCGGGCGGAGTGTATGAGCAAGCTTGAGCCTCCAGGTTCTCAACGTCCGCCCGTCTACGATAGGATAGTCCGATCTCGTTGCCGCTGTTCGCCAATTTGTTGGCACATTTGATCTGAGGCATGAACATAGCCGGGTACTCCAACTGGACTTGACGTGAGCTCCATGTATGTAGCTTGCTAGGATCTGGATGGATTGTGTCCTCTGACGTTGAGGTGCTTGCTGATAGCTTTCAACTTGATGAGTTTGCTTCTTCACTTGTACGAAGCTATGCCTCTTATGGTTAGAGACAAGAAGTAGACCTCAATTTCCTAAAATGCTCATTGCCACGAGCTTTCTAGTTCATTCATACTATATAAAAATATTATTATTGATATTGTTTCCTCTCCAATGATTATTGCTTGCTGGAGTCATCGTGGGTGCAGATACCCTTTCCATGCAGTTTCTATTGCAGGGACCTCATGATGGCAGCTTATCGGAAAAGAGGAAAGCCATCTGCTTTCCTAGGGGGCAGGATAATGTTGTCCTTCTCAAAGTGAAGAATGCAGACTTTTACAGTCCCACGACAAATTCCTGCAAAAGTGGCTGCAAGTACAGCACTTCATGCGCACCAGTATAGGGACATGACGTGGAATGTTGATACTGCTGTCCGCTTGTGAAAAAAATATTGGTTATGGCCTCGAATGTCAGGATGTCAGTTACGTCTTCAGGGAGTTACTTGTGATAGAGAATTGCCTGTTATGGCAGTCACAACAGCAGTCCTGCGGTCACGTGTGCACAGGCAATTCACTAGCATACTTGCAGGTAACACTCCGCCTAAACACGCTGTGAGGATCTGTTGATCAATGTCCCTCAACGTATCCTTTATTAGGTGGTTTCTTGCAGCTCTGCTTTCTGTTTAAAACTGTGCCTTTTCGATACTCGTCTTCCAGTACAGATTCACCCGACCCGTCAGTTGTCTTCTCAGCACATACAGCCTCAAACGGCGGAGAAACCCCGAACGATCGTCTCTTCACAACCTTGCATTGTTGTCCTTACCACCCTTCCCAAAAATGCCAACTGCTGGAATCGGCATGGAGAGCCGCTATAGAGTTTTAGTACCTATGACCATTGACAACACCGGCACGACCTCAGCTGCAAGCACCAACATGGAATTTGCATGCGATTCACATCATCCGTGTGACTCCTGCATGGCCTCGCGCGAAGCACTCGAGGTGGCAACGAATGTGCATAATGCTATTCACCAGATCAAACTTAATTGCGAATGTCTGCGGATTAATCAGGCTTTCTTGAAGAATGCTATACAAAGATACAGCAACGCTATCATAGCTCGTTGGAAGAAAAGAAGTCAAACAAAGCGAGCTGAGATTCTTGAAAAGGCATTCCCTGGTATGCCTCAGAAAAAGTTTAGCATCATACAAGCACGTTATGCAGAGGAAAACCTGGAAGCATCGTCTCTGTGCTGCACATTTCTGCTGCCTTATTTGAGTGTCGAAGACCTTTCATCCGATCCGATGCGGCTGCTAAGCTTGCTATATGTTCGAACGGAATACGACGCTAGCACATGGGCTGGTTTTGACCTTGAGAATACCAAAGCTGACTGGCATGAAGGCTTGCTCGATAGTGTTTGTAAGAGTGCCATGATTGCGTATGGTGCTCGGTATGGCGAAATTGTGGAATGGGACCAAGAGCGGGTAGATCAAGGACATCTTATTGCCCTTCCCCGGGCAAATTTGCTTATCCAAATCCAGGCTACATTATCAGCAATGCTAGCGGAGACAGTGGGGATTCTAACCGATGGAGCCACTATTGAAGAGCGGCCTACAAAATGGCTGGCTCTGATTGAGTCTGGCTTCCGACGCTCAAGAGAAGACGAAATATACTCTTCGTTCATTGATCGAGCATTTCAGCGCCCACCAGTGTTCGATATTGATGAACTCTTGAAAATAGCCGAGGCCCGCACTGCCAATGCACAGGATCAGCTATGGCTACTTCAAACAGAGCCTTCCCACGTGCATCGGGAATATCGACTTCTGCAGGACTCAGAATACTTTAGTGTCGTGGTTCCTCAACTCTCAGGTACTGTTGATGTTGAGAAATATAATTTGATTGGCAACATCCTGTCAGTAGAGTCAACAGGGAGATTTAGTGAATGGAACTGTGTTGTGGAAGAATGCAAGCACGTAAGAGAGCAGCTCAATGGATGCGGTGGACAAGTTCAGCTTGGTAAGCCCCTACCAGAAAAGTACAGTCAGGCTGTTTCTTGCCTTGAAGCTGCTCTTGAATCTATTTTGTGGCGTTGGACAAGAGACGTTGCGAGTCTGTTACCGAAGCTCCGTGGATTTGCATCCTGCTACGACCATGTCTTGTTGGATATCCAGAGAGCCATGACAAGGACGACTGCTAAGCGCCTACCAGATTATGACTGCTATAAAGAGGATCCCTTGTTCTGGTGTCTTTACTTGATCGTCTACCACGATGATAGCTTAGAGAGCTCGTTTGAGCCGCCATTCGTCTTTGCCTTCCTTGGTGACCTGGTTGGCAATGACACCCGGGTCGATAAGAACCGGCTTGATCAACGACTCATGGACGGACTGGCCGACATTGGCGCAATATGGGAAATGATAATGGCGATACGCTATCATCGGCCTTCAAGATACCGGATGGAGACACTGCAAGCATTGGATCTGGGTTCTGCTCGTGCAGGATGCAGACGTCTTGCACTTGAAACAAGGAGGTTGCGAGGAACGCAGGTGTTTCCTAATCAGATGTCCTTGAGTGTGAAGCCACCGTTGCAGCTCTTCGTCGAATCTTTCCGGCCAGGCGATGGAACGAAGGAAAATGACAGACATGAAAGACGGATGGCATCACGAAGGCTCCTGAAATCCTTTTGGGACGCAGCTCGCGACTTCCAAAGGCAATACCTGGGAGGCATTGGTCTCTCGACGGAGGAAATCCAGATGCATCTGGCGTCGATATCCTTCGATCTAGCACCAGAGTATTTGGAGTCGTTGGAGAAAAGGAACCAAAAAATCCCATCCCCCGTACATGTTGCCCGGAGCTTGACCGGTTCAGAAGCTTCGCAGTGCACCTCGTGGGACGTCTCACAGGAACAAAGTTCAAGATTCGTAAATGTTGGGCCTGTAAAAAGCAAGATGAAGCGTCGACCAACTCCAAGAGAAGACGACGTCGAGGCTCCCCTGCCTGAGGCTGGACCCGCCGCCAACGAAGACGTTCATGATCATGAATCTGATTCTACAGACTCCAGAATCGAGAACATTTTACTTGTCACGCCGGAGAGTTTCAAGATCTTCATGGATATGTTTCCTTCCAAAGACCTCGACTCCCAGACAGCTAAGAAAGGTCTCACCGACTGGAAAAAATTCGTTGGTGCAATGACCGATGCTGGATTTGTAGCCAACCACAATTCCGGCTCAGCGGTTACATTCATCAGGCAGTCAGGGGGAAGGATCATTTTTCACAAACCGCATCCAGTAGCCAAGCTTGACAGGCATGTGTTACTGGGTTACGGTAAGCGGCCGAGGAGATGGTTTGGATTGGATCAGGAGAGCTTCCAGGTCGCTCCAAGGGCAGGTACGTAGGTAGGCGTTTGGTTGGTTCGTCGGCAGAGGATGTTTTCGGTCTATGCCGTTAGGGCATGAGAGAGAGCATCACTTCCAATTCATGGAAGTCTAGATTGGAATAGAGACCACTCTATAGCCATGGCACGCAGTGCAGCTAATAACCTTTCCATGAGTGAGGATCCCATTGTCTTGCGAACTATATTATGGAACGAAGCAATCTGGAGCTGTATTAGTGGTTCCTTCAATGCCCATTGTACGTGCAATATGAGTTATGGGACTGGCAAAAGTAGTAGTAGATTGTCAATCATCATCTACTTCCAGTCACAGTAGAGGACGAAATGGCTCACTCAGCCTCCAGAGATTGCACCTCATTGTGTCAACGTGGTAGCACCACTAGTTACTTCACAGGTGTCAGAATTCATTCCGTTTTAACCGACGTTCAACCGTGTCTGCGCTGTGGGTTTTCTGCTTTCTCGGCTAAATATCGGATAAACCGTAATGAATTCTGACACTTGACATCCGTAGATCACGTAGTAGCTTCAGTTGTGTTTATGCAACCTTGCTCAGCTTCATATACCTCTCAATCAATCAATCTTTGCACAAATCCATGATATCATGCCAGTTTCTTCGCTTTCCATCCATCCCCAGATTCCGCACTACAGTCGCAAGCACGAATGCCGACTCCCAAAGCTCGCAAGATGTTCTCCCCGTCCATCTCATGCTTCTTGCCACCTTGGCTTCTGTAAGATGTTCAGCCTGTACCCTGCTATTCATTCTGTCTCATGCCACCTTGTCTGTCGTATCAGGTGTTGATTTGGCCTTGAGTTTACCAGGGGACATGAGCTCTTCATTGGAGCTCTGTTGCAGTTGGGACCGTTGTTAGTAGACGGTCGAGGAAGATTGAAAGAGTGGGCCGCTGTGAAGAATGCCTGGGTTCTGGGAATTCGTGGCTTCATGTCCGCAATGATCTTCTCCTATCGATTCTCCTTTATTGCTGTGCTTCTGATGGCAGCAATGAGCCTGGGGGCCTAGCGTTTTCTGTTTCTGTTTTATGCCTGCTATTAACTTCATTAGCGGCATATAGTAAGACAACATATTTTCATTGTCTTCCCTACCCGATCAATCTCGTCCCGCTTATTGCTGTACCGAAGACAAGTTGGGATTTGTTGTTTGAATACGGTAAGTCACCAACCGTGTCGAACACTATTTAGCGGGGGACAGAATCGCCTTTGCTCGCATTCTGCTCATTGATTTATGCGCTGTAACTGTAACGCAGTGTTCAACAATCACGCAGTCTGCACCCATCTCTACTCTCGATAGCAATACCATTGACTGTTTTAGAATTTGGTAGCTGCATAATTGCTCTAGCCACCTCGTCAACCTTTCCTCATCATGGTTTTGCCGCACGAACTTGCTCCAGGCTATGGCACCAAGCTTCTGGGACAAAGAATACCACTTGGTGACTCGCCTAAGGCCCCTTGCCAATGCCTAGAATGTGGCCAGCAATACCGCACTGAGACGGCTCTGAAGATGGGGAACAAGACTTATTCACGCCTTACAGGAGTGGAAGATGCTCAAAAGCTGTTGGATGAACAAGTGGCGACCATTCGTGCCAATCAGGCTTTTCTACGCCAAATGTTGCTCAATCATGGCAATGCAATCTTTAGTAGATGGAAAAAGGCGAGCTGGTCAAGAAGAGCTTCGGCTATTCAAAACGCACTGCCAGATATCCAGGTGGAGAAGTGGGCAATATTTAAGAAGTTCTACGGTCCATCCGTTGTATTAAACGAAGCTCTCCTCCGCAAATCCTGCCTACTTCCATACATCAACCTTGATGATCTAAGGTCGGATCGGTTCAAATTCCTAGGTCTCCTTTATGCGCGGAGTCAATATGATCTCGACGACTGGGTCGCATTCGACGTTAACCAAACCAAGATGGCTTGGGAACATGGTTGGGTCGCAGTGGAACATTGCGCACATGCAGTCATCATGTTCGGTGCCGAATATGGCAAGTTAGTGCCATGGAATCGGGACCAAGCACATCGATGGGATATCATTGGATTTCCTCGTGCTCATTTGGTGATTGAAGCTCAATTCACTCTTCTAAAGCTACTTCGAGATGTCGTTGAAGGTCTACTACAAAACATACAGAAAGAAAGTGGATCAGAATAGTGGGCCGAGCTTGTCGAAGGCGGCTTTGGAAGATCTAGCGAGTCCGAGACCTGGACGCTGCTCACCAACCAAGCGTTTACTGCACCACCTATGCTCAATGCTGACAGCCTGTTCGAGATTGCAATTTCTCGCTTTAAGATGGCGCAGGATCACGTCTGGCTCCTGCAAACCGACCCTTATTACATGCGCAATGAAGCTCGTTACGTTCTTGATACACAAGTAGCGAAGACTGTTGGAGAGAAAGCGGGAAGACCCCAGTACCTGAACTTTGTAGCTAACAACATGGTACTCAGAGCTTTCGGAAGAGTAGATCACTGGGATATGATAGTCAGGGAGTGTCAGAATTTCCAAGCGGTAAGCCAAAAATTCTGCAGCGCTATTCAAATTGGACAGGCGCCCCCTCCCGAATACCAAACGACTATCCGCTTACTCGAGGTCTTGTTGATCAACATTCTCCTGGCACAAACAAAAGGGCTGGAGGTGCGTCTCCCATCATTTCGTGGCTTTGAAAAGTGCTACGGCGAAGTCGCGATCAGTAGGTCGACGGGTGAGATCACAGCAAACTGATTCCTCGCACAATCAGCGAATGGTACAAGGATGACCCCCTCTTCTGGATATTGCACTCGTTGACTGCTGATCCTCGCTCATCGGTCGATCCTGCTATGCTGTTTAGTTTCCTCGATGAAGTCATGAGTGGAAAGAACGTGGACATAGACCGAAACCGTGTTGACCAACAACTGATGGACCAGCTTTCAGACCTTGGCGCCACTTGGGAGCTGCTTATTGCTGTCCGCTCCCAGCGGCCTAGAGCCAAGGAAGAACTCACCAATGAAGACCTGAACCAGTGTCAAGAAAGCTTCAGTCGTGTTTGGCTCCGCCATTCAAAAACGTCTGGTCGTGGCAGGCAAGGCCTGACGCCAGAGCACATGCCCGCGCTGAAGGCAGGATCTCTGCTGCACCAATTTGAATTACTTCCGCTGCCATCAGGAAAAAAGGACGCCGTGTGGCAACAGAGATCTGATGACGTGCACGCGAGGCTCACAGCGTTCTGGACAAGAGCTAGACAGTGGCTCGAAAACGACTTCTCAAAGCAAGGATGCCCGGAAGAGCACATCAAGCAGTTCCTTGGGCTGGTTTCTTTCGACGTCGCCCCTGAGCATTTGAAAGCGTTAGAGGAGCAGAGAAAGACGATTCTAGCTGGCCCAAAGCCGAAGGCAAAGCCGTTAACGACAGAAGACACGCCTGCGCAGTCCTCCTGGAGTCCTTCAGTGGGAGAAGGTTCTAGTGCCTATCTGGTTCGACGTCCGAAAGTGAAACAGAAGCGCCGAGGGACTGAGGAGACGAAGGGGCAACTCGAAGTTCAATCCGAACAAGTTGAGGACTTCCACCCTACATCTTCTGCAGAAAGTGACAACCCTTCAACGTTCACCATCCCCGTGAGCGCTGAGACCCTAGAGATATTCAACGACATGTTCCCGACAGGCAGTGAAGATGTGGGAGAGCCAAAGAAGAAGAAGAAGAAGAAGAAGAAGAAGAAGAAGGGCCTCCTGGACTGGCGCAGCTTCGTTTCTGCTATGACAGACGCTGGCTTCTCCACCAGCAGCAGCGGTGGTTCAGCTGTCACTTTTGCAAACGCTCACGGCAAAATCATCTTTCATCGACCACATCCAGTAGCCAAGGTTGATCCGGGTATGTTGGCTTGGTTCGGGAAGCGCTTGAACAAATGGTTCGGCTTAGACAGAGACAGTTTTGTCTGTGCTGCAGATACAAAGAAAGGCGGTAAGGACATTTCGACTGCTGCGAAAGAGAACGAGGATGATCAAATCAACGAAAAAGGCAATAATTGATCGTCCATCAATGGAAACAGGAAAAAGCATGCAGAGGAAGCTAGCAAGTCGCACGGCAAAAACTAAGCGATCCTCTTTGGCTAGAAACCATCCAGCGAAATATCCTACATGCGAGCTATCTACCCTTCCTTTTCTTCTCAGCCCTTCCCTCCATAATCTTCCTCATCTTCTCAAAACCCTCACCAATTCCCCCGCTACTACCGCCACCACCTACTCTGACATCCCCACCTACTCTCCTCCTCTTCTCCCTCCTCTCTAGCACACCCCCCTTCCCGCTCCCACTCCCTATGCTCCTCGCCACCCGATCTCCTACCTCTCCCAACCCCGTCCAATCCTCCCCTCCAAACCCCTCCCTCCTAGCGTTTCCCCCATCTCGCCCCATATTCTTCCGCTTCTCCGCCTTACTTTCCCTCGGCAACCTCGAAAAGTTTCTCTCTTCATACTCCGTCCTCTCTCTCTCCTTATCCCGCTCCCGCGTAGACAGCGCGCCACGGCCTCGATTCAGAATGGTGCTGTTTGAGCCAATGGAGGGTTCGGCGCGGGGGTTTGAGGAGAGTTCGGTGGAGATGTACTCGTCCAGGAGGTGGGATTTGCGGTTTCCAAGGGCGGAACGAGAGGCGACGTTGGTGGTGCTGGTTGTGGACATAGATGTGGGTGCGATTTGAGGGGGTCTGTAGGCACCGCTGCTGCGGGAGGTGGATTTGATGGAGTCAGAGGGGTGCGATCTCCGGAGCAGGGCGCTTGGATTAGGGCGGTAGGAGAGGTCATCTATCTCCGGCTGCGTTCCGTCTTCATGAGAAGCCGTAGTATCCTCTGAGCCTGCAGACCCGGAACTGGAATCCGAGTCGGAATTCGACGCATCTGAACCCTCTGTAGTTCTCATTCCATTGCTAGTTCCCCCCCTCCGTCCATTCTTCGATCGCTCAGCAGACCGCTCGACCTCATCCGCCGCCCGCACCACCTTCTCAATCTGATACCTCAACCGTCCCTCCAGTGGCCGCACCCCCTTCTCGAGATAGACGCGCGTCTCGACCAGTTTCCGCACCACTTCATCACCAATCGCTACGCAGCCACTATCACCATCCGATAAAACCCCACCGTTGTGATGTCTGAGCTTGAGAACGATCAGAAAAACGAGATCCTGCAGGTACGACAGGAGGAGGTCGTTCTTGGTGTCGAGGAGCGATATCCCGTCCGCTGATGGTGGGAGGAGGGATGGGGGGGAGTCTGGTTGTGCGGCGGGGAATGAAGAGGTTGCTGATGTTAGGGACTCGGTTATGGTCGTTAAGAGGCTAATTGAAGATGTGGTAGTGGTGGTAGTCATCTCTACTTCGCTTGTGGGTGGTGGTATCAATCGAGGAACTAGGTGTCGCCTACTAGTATTACTTCACATGGTATCGAGATACTGTAGCAAGAAAATCTGGCGCCATCAGATCTTATCTTATCTCTTGGCACCGAAGTCGTCTGTGCAAACTCAACTCTGGAATTTGTCCTGCAGTGGAAGAATCTGCTCGCTAAATCGCGATGCTGGAAAAGAACGGGAACAACAAACTCTGATAGTGATCATATTGAGTCCAGCAGCCAGCTATCATGGATTTGCTGAGAGATCACTGCAGTACCACCTGGAGAGACAAGATCAGCTACCTGCAAGGAAAAAACCAAAGACCAAAAACAGAAGAGGATTGAAGTTGCACTAGTGATCGCGGACTTCTGATTATCTATTTACCCCCGACAGACTTTATCTCTTTCCTTGTCTATAAAAATTTCAAGTGCAAGCACAAATGAAGCTGCCGAAGATTGTACAAGAAGACCCTTTGGAGGTTAGAAAGTGACCACAACTCCATCACGCTGTCCTTGGTATGACAGACGATGACACTATCTGCATACAAAAGCGACAGTACGCCATTGTTGACATGCTGCACCAGATTTTGTCGCAAACTTCTCTTCGTCCATTGGAAGGCGAAAGACCAAAACTCATCGCGTAATCAAGACCAGAACAGCTCCGGCCATGTAGTCGTCCACAACCATAACTCTTTCACGTTTAGACGCCAGGTTTCGTGAAGTCCGGGAAGTCAGGCCAGTTGCCCAGACCTGCTGGATCTCCACCCACTCTGATCCATTTCGAATGGGATGGAGTAGGACCATCCAGAACGAAAAGCTGATGCCAGCCTGGTGGGCTGACATTGGCGTTGGGCGGTGTCGTTACAGTACAGGTGGTGCCTGAACAGGAGACAGCAGGGAAGATGGTTCTCTGGCCCATGCTGTTGCCATGTGTGCTTGAATCTGCACCCATCATGGAAACCTTGATGTCACCAGCAGTGCCTTGATACTGTCTAACATTGAGGGTGATGGTCTCGCCATAGCCGAAAGAGGTCTGGTTATTCACGATAGTGAATTCTGGTTGTTTGGCACCTGACAGGAGGTATGGCGGCAGGAAGACTTCGACTCGGTATTCTTGCTCAAAGCGCACATCTTGAGGATCTGAACCCGATACCAAAACACGTCCGTCCTGAAGAAGGATAGCTTCAGAGTGGTAGAGGCGATCAATGGTGGTGTTTGCCATCACGCTCATACGTTGATTGACTGGCTTTCGAGGATCATACAGCACAGCGTTGTGGTTCGGATTGACCGTTAGCCCGAACCCAGCACGACCCTGTTGACCGCCATTGAGGATCAAGTAAGTTCCATCAGGAAGTGCAGTCATGCACGAAATGACACGAGGCGACGGCTAGGCAGTAAATGTTAGTATGACGCCTAATATGAGGAAGCGAGTACACTCACCATTCGTTCAATAGTCCATTTCGGATCGGCCTCTTCTGGTGCAACAGAGACACAATTGTCAAGCGCAATTTCTGGGCCAGGCGTAGTGCCACCACATATCATAACGGTCAACGGGTCGGTGTAGGGAGCGTGTTGGGGCATTAAGACCGCAGTGCCTTCGAAGGGATATGTGCGTCCACCTTTGGGATCGTTAACAGCGGCGGGAATGTTCTCAAGTGTCTTGACGGTCTCTAAGCTTATCTCGTCAAGTATTCTTGCCTCGTTGTAGTATGCGACAAAGACTCCGCCGCTTGGGAGGACGGCAAGGTACGGATAGAGGTTGTTGGGGTCGGTGCGCTGAAGCCAATCGCAGTATTGAACAGTGCCGCCGGCTGGCTTGGGGAGAATTTCGAGCGAAGGTACAGGAGCACCGTTGGCTCCCTCCTGGCCACCGACAACAAGGATAGACCCATTGGCCATGATCATTCCTGTGGGATACCATCGGCCGGCCTGAAGGCGCACTTCCTTGACATTCTCTTCCCAGTCATTCACACCCCAGACACCTGGCGAGCCATCAGGAGTGTACAGTCTCACACCAAAGGTATCATCGTTGGCCCAACCTCCAACATTGATCTGCCTTCCAGCCTTGTCGGGGAGGGTCAGACCAGCAGCACAGAAGACGTCCGTCTTCACATGCATCGGTCTCCAAGCGCCGGTAAAGTTGTTAACCTGAGCCACGTCTAACTCGTAAGCGCCAGTGGTATTGACTGCTCCAGTTCCATATTTCTCGATGAAGGTGACCTTGCCGTTGATAGCCAGGGTGGTAATTAGAGGAATGACAACGCCGCCAAGCAAGAACTCATATTTACCCGCAGCGGTGCCAGTTGGGAAGTCCCAGCTGTTCAAAGGTGTGCCGGTCCAAGTATAGTAAGACATCCTATTTCCGGAGCCACAGATGGTGCTGGCATTGCCAGGGCAGGGCATATTGCAGTCTGATTCGGGATAGAAGGTCCTGCCTAAGCTTTTCACAGTAGCCTCGTCACCGCACCAACACTCAAGACCGTATTCCATCCCTCCAGCACCATAGCCGAATTTGGAGCATTGGCTGAGGCAATTCTCTGCAGTGTTATTGGTTTCCAAAATGAGCTGATATTTCAAGGACCGTGGATCGGCCAGATCGTGGAGACACCCCTGATATTGCCAGTTGCCAGGCAGATTGGTTTTTTGCACAGCAGGTGGTTGGTAAACCCGCAGGGTATCGTTGGAATAGACGCTCATCCGGTTTCCAGCGCCGCACATTTCTGTCGACTTCCCACTGCACGGCATATTGCAGTCAGAATCTGACGTCAGGGCGGCTCCGTTGTAAAGGAAGTCATCGCAGAAGCACTGGGAGGAGTATTGCATTCCTGCCACACTGTAGCCAAGACTTTGGCAGGTAGCGATACATTTCGCGACAGTGTTGGTGGTGCTATCGGGCTGTTGTTTGGTAAGAATGCGGCCCTGGGCATTGTCGATGTAGCAGCCCTGGTACCCCCAGCCAGTTGGTTGAGCGCCTTTGTAGCCGAACAAGCTCAATCTGTCAGGTCCTCCACAGAGCTCGGTTTTGTTGCCATTGCAGGCCATGTTGCAACCAGTGTTGGTGCCTGGTGCTGGAGCCCCGCCATTAGCTGTCTCATTACCGCAAAAACATTCAGAGCCATACTCGACCCCGGCGAGAATGAAACCCGCCTGCTGGCATGCCGAGGTACAAAGCGCGACCGTCAGAGCTGCCTGTCCTCCAGTAGTGGGCATGATAGTTGTGAGTGTACGATTCGCAACCCCATCGGTATAGCATCCCAGTGGAGTCCAACCATTCACTCCAGTATTCTCGAAAGGACCCGTTGGAGGAGCCTGGCCGTTCCAAAAGGTAGTCAATCTGTTTGGACCACCACACTGAGTCGTATTCTGACCAGTGCAACCCATGTTGCATTCGCTGTCACTTGCGAGGGTTGATATACTCGCGAGCTTGTTCCCACAGAAGCATTCCGAGGCGTACTCGGTGCCTGCGTAACTATAGCCTCCTTGAGCACAAAAAGCAATGCACGATGCACTAGTCATGGTGTTACCATCACCATAAAAAGCACTCGACAGCGTCCGGCTGCCGATGGCATCGCTAATAAAGTCCGAGATGTCAGTCAGGGACGGGCCTAAAGGTTGAATCTGCACTTACGTATAGCAGCCTTGGTGGGTCCATGGGTCTGGAAGATTGGTTGCGATCGGGAGGTCTCGCTTGCTTACTTGATGATGAATATGCCTATGAGCAAGGGTGGCACGAGCAGTGGCGGAAGTGATCTTTACTTGTCAGCGATGGTCCTCCAACCAGCTCGGAATACTCTGAGGAGCTCACAGAAGAAGTCAACAGGAGCAACGACGCAAAAGCAGACTGAAGGAACGTGGGCGCCATTGGAGGCAAGAAAGAAATTGGTGAAGGTAAAGACAGACGAAAGAGAGAGCAACGCAGAACAACCGAAAGAATGGACGGCCACAAGAATATGGCCTTGAATGAAGATGAGAACGAGAGAATGTGGTCCTGGGTGTAAATAAAGATTAACGAACACAAGGACGAACTATCGGGCCAAGGGCGTGACCAAGATATCATGGGGAGTGTGGTTGTCTGATGCCGGTCGGATCCTTGACCCGGATCGTGATCTCGACCGTTGCCACTGATCAAGAGCAGTGGATTGCCTCCCAGATGCCGTATTTGGCAAATAGCTTGCCTAACTTAGTGCTCAGGGAGACCTAGCTAGGTAGGATAGGAGACGCATTCCGTCGACCGTCCTGTCTTGAAGGGAGCTGCTAACTAGTTAGTAGTGTTGCTTAGCCATGAAGCCATATAGTAGCTGGAGGAGGTGCCAATCTCAACACGAGGAAATGGAAAGTTAGGATGCATATCCCCTATGGCAGCGTGAAAGACGGACGATAAACAAAGGCCAAGCTGAAGGCCATCGAACCGCAGCAGCATGCTCAAAGTCTCAGTCGATCTGCCAGAATGCAGTGTTTCTATCTAAATGCCTGTTCATGGACCGAACATTGAGTAGTCTATAATTGATTCTGTGCTTTGATATGCTATATGCCTGTCAGAACAGGTACTCTCGGCTGTACTGCACCTGACGGTGACAGTTGGCATGAAAAAGGGGATGCTTTAGCAGCAGTTGGTGTCAATCTAGTTCAGTCAGAGATAAGAATGCAGCCAAGAGTATTTATTCATCTTCAAGTTTGCAAGCTATCTCTTAGCGTATTCTGACTACTTTTGGTGCACGACTCCGTATAGTAAGCGAAATTGCATTGATGGGTATAAATTTGTGGAGGGGGCGCCTACAGAAGTGGAATATGCAGTAACTACTGTGGAGGCTGGAGCTCTGCCTGTGGCTGAGGTCCTTGTCACCTGGGCTAGGCAATGCTCTGGAATAGGGAATAAGATAGGAACATGCTACTCAAAGTGGAGATTGCATCTTTGAGGTGCAGATAAACTGTGCTGCTGCGCTAAGCCTGTTCCTGTCGATCACAGTGTGGGGGCTGGCTAGAGGGCGTTAGGAAAAGGAAATTAGTACTACGTACTAGTAGCTAGCCGAATTTGATGGTGTGGTTCGGACTGTTGAACCATTCGAATTTTGGCCGGAGCAGAGCCATGCACTGATCTTCAAAGCACGGACCAGTACGGGTAGTGACACAAGTACTACGGTAGGGGTCATAATTGATTGTAGCACAGCGCTAGTAGCAGCTAGTTCGGATACAGCGTCACCTCAGTGTCTAGAAGCTTCTCAGACAGCTGTTGATATCAATTAGCCACCACAATACCGCTTAACGGTTCAAAGCTTAGCTGTCTCGTTTGGAGTCTGTTTTGGTACACATATACTAGCGCTGCGTTACGAATACTTATGCCAGGTACTCCGTACCGTAGTATAACCCACAAACGCACAGGAACCGCAGCTCTCCGTACAATTCGACCTTGCCGCCGTACGCAAGAAAAATTTCTAAGGTTGATTCTATTAAATTCCCAGCGGCTACCCGGTCATCCAAACATACTGATCTAGTAGCAGCAATAAGCATGAGGAAGGTACCAAGACCCCTAATGAAACCACAGATGTTCTACAACCTACCCCCTACATGCCAAAGATTAAATTCCTGCCCAATACTCCTTGCTCGTGTCTAGAATGCCATGCTCTTACGCGCTTCCACAAGTTCCCTCAGTCCACATCTTGACGCTCTTGACGGTCATGCCTCGAGTATCCCCTGGACCCCATGTCTGAGCCCACTGTGCCTGGGCATCCCAGAATTCCTTTGGAGCGGTGAGTGATGCATCGCCCCAAGGTTTGTTTCCAACACCATCCTTGAAGAAGCCGTTGGTACCACCAACAGCAACGTTAAGTATGAGGAAGAAGTTTTGATCGAATGGAGTGTTCGCCCTGCCTGTCTGTGACCAAGGATCGAAGAGAGCAGAATTGTTAAGCGTGGCCTTGCCAAATCCACCACGCTCCCACATGTTGTCATAATGGAGGTTAAATTTAACAAAGAAAACTTGCTGTAAGGGTCATCAGTCAGGGTGGCAGAAAAGTCAAAAGGTGACTCGCTTACCAGAAGTCTGCTGTCTATGTATGTAAAGAGGTAGTTCTCACTCCACTCGAGTCCGAAGGTATGAAAGGCCTCGGAGTAGTCTGTCCGTCGAAGGTTGTGCTTGCCGCTGGTTTTGTAGAAGGCATCCTTCTCCGATACGGGACCCCAATGTAAGGCACCAATCAAGCTGTCTCTTCCATCGGTATAGGTGTCGCCGGAATTACCTCTGCTCTCGGCAATGTCAATCTCCCCACTGCGAGGCCATTTTCCGTAAACGTCGGCCTCAGGCATCATCCAGATTGCAGGCCACAACCAATCTCCTCGAGGCATCTTTGCGACAACCTCGACCTTTCCATATCTCAGGGACTTCTTCCCCTTGGTGGACAAGCGAGCACTGCGCACAGGATTGATGATGGTCCCGGCTGTGATGTTGCTGCGCACTGAGCAGCTGTCGATCTCTTGGGCAGTGCAAACTCCATCGGTGGTTAGATTCAGGACATAGTTGTCGGTTAGTTGTTCAAGAGTGATATCAGTGGACTCGGTGGTAAATGTTGGAACAATATGAAGTCCTTCACCGTCCACATACGCATTCTTTGGGTCATCAGTTGTCCATTCGAAGGACCCTGATCCGAAGCCACCACGCTGGATCTCATAGCTCCAAAAATTTGTGTCAATGGTTTGAAAGTTATCTTCCATTAGAAGACAGTACTAACTAGTTGTTAGCAGCACATCCCTGTCTCAACGGTTTAGTACCAACTGAATGATTTGCAATCGACGAGATGGACACGAAGCAGATGAGACCACCAAGGGCGAAACCGATGGCAATCGACGCCCAGAAGATGATTTTCTCCCACTTCTTGCGAGGCTCTGGAATCTCGGTCCATGGCTTCTCGTACTCTCCACCCTTGAATCGTGCGCTCTTAAACTTTCTTTGTCGAGGTATATGTACTCCTGTTCATACGTCAGAGTCGGAATGCAATCAGCGAGAAAGAAGGTCTACCAGATACTGCGGGGAAGTATGAATATGGTCTTCGCTCATCTTGTGAGGCAGTACGACTAAGACGAGTCGGAGATGTGAAAGGATTCGAGAAAGGATTCGAGACAGGTGTCTGGGGTGTGCTTATGGAGGCATGGATTGAATTTCTCCTTGAATTGAGCTGTGAATTTGCTGCCGACATTTTCGAGTTTTCTAACACCGGCGCCCTTCATGAAACAGTAATATGAGGAATGACCATGGCAAGCAGTGAGTAAAGAGACCGGATAGCGGGAGGAGGTATGCTGCCAAACCGTCTCCGGTAATGGAAGCGAGCGAGGCAATCAGAACATTTTGCCCATTTATCACTCTGTCGAGTCAACACTAAGCCACGTTCATCGAAATTGTACGTACTACGTAGGAGAGAGGAGCCGACCGAAATGAGAGGCCTCTTTCCTGATTCGAGGCCGGCTTTCTCGAAGCTGGACCCATATCTGGAAGTCTCCTACAGTCAAACCTAGCACGGTCAAAATCATTGCAACGCTAACTCGGATGCCCGCCCCTGCCGGAATCTAGTCTAATACTGCAGGAACACGAGCTAATGGATGCAACTCGTGTCGTCTGTTTGATCAGGTAGCATGATTCCCGAGCTATTCCACACTGCGGACGGATCCAACATTTGGTTGAGCCTGGCAGAACCAGAATCCTGCCGCTGCCAGCGTGTGACAGCTGCGAGATTAGAAATACTGACATCTATACTTTGTGAGGTGAGACCATCCTTGCGTCGACACAGTGTCAAGTCTGGATCATAGATGAGCGTCGTTAGCGAATGCGGAAGGAGTGTTTGATAACATCGAGATTCATCAGCGAACGACAGCTGAAAGGAGTTAACCAGTTACTATGGTAAGGGGCAGAGATAAAGTTAGCATGGTGTTAGTAACGGCTAGTTATAATACAGCGCCACATGGGTGTCTAGAAGCTTCTCTGGTTGATGACCATTGAAATCGGCTGTAGCAGTACCACTAATTGTTCAAAGCCTAGCTGTCATGGTAAGAACCTGTTCTGGAATGAAAATACTAGCGCCGCGCTAACATTACTCCTACCTGATACGGTAGTAGAAGTGTGACTTCACCTGCATGATTTTGATAATCTGATGGTTTGACGGTAATTGTCATGCTAATGTAGAATGTTCATTAGTCCAGGAACTTGCCCATGCTGAAGGCAATTGGTGCTTAAGCGGCCCGTGTTCTGAAACATGACGCTATTGTTGTTACACGGCATAGCCTTTTTGCCCGAGATGAGTGGTGTGAGTAACGTCACTTGGTTGCCAGACGATTACTAACATCATAAATATCATTGTTGCTGCATGAGCTTGCAGTGTTCAATCTCAATCTCAGTCCACCGGTGTGACGAGGATAGTTCAGGGATGGCTGTCATCAGCTAAGCCCTCCTAGTAGAGAGCGGGCAAGGTTTGATGGTGTGCTCGGGGTGTTTGGGTCGTAAGGAGGATGCAGCGCTAACTATTTAAAATGATGTAATCACGCCAAGGCAGGCTAGTATTCGTCAAATTCCACTGATTTTGAATTGGAGCGTATCAACAACACGGAGTTCCTCCTTACTTAGCAGGAGTTCGGTACTTACTAACTAGTAGTCCTGTACGCCACTAGATTGTCTGAAAGGTTCAAGAATGGCCGTGAGGATGGTCAACGATCGGGAGATCGTCCATTGAAAATGCAGCCACGTGCTCCAGCCGGTACCTGGGCATTGGGCAAGCAAAGTCCTTCAGTCTCCGCTCTAGATTCTATCCTTCAAAACATTTCAATCCTGACAGGTCTACCCGCTACCCATGTCAGGGGTGCTCCTTTACGTAGTCCTCCTCACGCCACACTATCCAAGTTGTGGTTTGCCAAGTCTGCACGAGTTGATTCCTAGCTGGTCGGGGCGCTCACGTCGAGCAATAATAATTGTGCCTTGACAAGGTTCATGATACCGGCGTCTGGCTCATGGAAGCTTATCTGGCTTATTCGACTATTTGGTTCTCACCCTCGGCAGACGAAGATTAACACCATGCTATCAAGCTAGATCCCGTTCCGGAAAGCAAAAGATACACAAATGTTGATAGTTCTGGATCGGATATGGCCCTTGATATAGCACATGGCGCCGAGAAAGTAGGCTGACTACTCTCTACGCTGAACTGCTGCCGGAGTCGGTGGCGGTTTATCGTCTCAGCCCCTCAAGCCCACAATGCCCAAAACGGGATTAAGCTCGATCCATAAAGTACTTTTCCAGCCGGTGCTCTATTCACCGGAGTCCGTTTTGTTGCTTTTCCTCTGTTAACTGTTGTGGTGCTCTTGTCTTTCCAAGTCACTCCTTCTCAAGAGGCCATACACGCTCGTTGATTTGTTAACTGTTGTGCCTCTTGTCTTTCCAAGTCACTCGTTCTCAAGAGGCCATACACGCTCATTGATTTGTTTCCTTTGTTTCCTGGGTGCCATGGCTACTGACACATTTAATATTGGAGCACCTACTTTCTCCTCAAAAGATGTTCATAACGTCAGGCATTCCCGCCCTGGATTGTCATCCAAAAACAGCGCACCAGCCAGTGTTCGATCCAATGTGACAGGTGGTCAGGATCGACATGATGTGGTGCGCATTCTCGCTGAACAGCAAACTCACGGTATCATATGCCTTTTACTGACTGCTTTTTAGATGGTCAAGTACCTCTATCGGAAATGCTACGAGTCCAAATGGCTGGAACCTACAGAGGATGACTTCGGCCTTAGCGATGGTGGAGCATCGAACTTAGGAGTATTGCTGAGACGCCCTGATGGAGTCTATACTGCCGACCCCATGTTCCTCAACACGGAGCTCGTCAAGTCAGTAGAGAAGCTTGGTGTTCCAGTCGCATTCACCATGTCATCTGACATCGTTCAAACCCTTCTCTCTACCGTGACGCCCTTCCAGACCGAGCTTTGTCTGGATCCCCGTGGTTTTGTGCTCCCGATTGTCAATTCCGTGAAGGAGCTCGCGACGCAGAAATCTAGTGTTACTAAGGAAGCCTACATATGCCTTTGCCGACGTGAGAAATACGTCCTTGTTTGGAGCGATACCGTGCAAGGCGTCCTCGCGCACGGTGCGGATGTAGAAACGCGCCTTCTCGGACTGGTAAGCGCATGCATTACCTGCATAAGAAGCTTGACCGTCCCGTGACTAACGAAAGCTCAGGTTTGGGGCTCTCCAATCACAACTCCACCAACAAATGGCAGCCTCAACCTTGTTCGTGCGTCTATGATGCCAGGCGCATCTCCAGGCTGGGCCACTCCCAGTGATCCCGTGGTAAACGAAAAGGTTACCGTCATACAAGCGGCCATTGAGCAAGAAGAACTTGGCGATAAAGCTTACGACCCGGAGAAAGACCAAGGGGTCCCCAAAAGGCCATTTCTGCTCACTCATGCCATGGTCATTGGCCTTGCCATGGTTCTTGTCGTTGTTGTGGAAATGGCTTGTGTTGCGAAACTGCTCCAGGAAGTACGTTTAGATGGACAGATGATCCGGTTTGCGCTCGTCGCCACGATTCCTCTATTCGCTTCCTTCTCCTTGTTCTTTATGATTGTCATCACCGGATCTCTTTTTCAGCTAGTTGGCCCACTCTCATCCATTGGCCAGAATAGTCTTTATTACTCCGGCAAGGCACCAAAGGTGGGACGCTACGCAGATCTCGAACTTCCTCACATCACCATTCAAATGCCCGTCTACAAAGAAGGTCTCAAAGGCGTCATCATGCCAACTGTGGAGACACTTCTTGCGGCTGTCAAACACTACGAGGAACAAGGCGGCACGGCATCGATCTTCGTCAATGATGATGGAATGCAATTGGTAAAACCTGAGCTCCAAGAGTAAGTAATCAGACTGTTATAGCTGGTTTTCTCGTTACTAATCTTCCTCCCAGAGCTCGGAAAGCCTTCTACGAAATCAACAATATCGGTTACTGCTCTCGCCCTCCTCATTGCACCCAAGAAGGTGACAAATACTTCCTCCGCAAAGGTCAATTCAAAAAGGCATCGAACATGAACTATTGCCTGGACTTCTCCCTTCGAGTTGAAGATGAGTGGTTGAAGTTGATGGACGAAACGTGCCGCGAACGTGATTGCACTCATGAAGACATCTCGATCGAAGACGAACAGGAAATGTATGATCAAGCTCGAAACCGAATGATCGAGCAAGACGGCGGCAGGACATGGGCTGCCGGTAACTGCAGAGTTGGTGAATACATCTTGATCATTGACTCCGACACCCGCGTTCCTGAAGACTGCTTGCTACTTGGGGCACTCGAAATGCATGAAAGCCCAGAAGTCGCTCTCCTCCAACATGCGTCAGGTATCCTTCAGGTTGTCAACAACGTCTTCGAGAACGGTATCACTTATTTCACTAATCTCATCTACACATCTATCCAATTTGCTGTTGGCAGTGGAGACTGTGCACCGTTCGTGGGTCACAACACATTCATTCGCTGGAAAGCCATCCAAAGTATCTCGTGGGAAGAAGATGGAATGACCAAATTCTGGTCAGACAGTCATGTCTCCGAGGACTTTGACGTCAGTCTACGATTACAAATGAACCACTTCGTCGTTCGCCTTGCTACCTACCACAACGGTGGCTTTAAGGAAGGCGTGTCATTGACTGTCTACGATGAACTTGCTCGGTGGGAGAAATATGCCTACGGCTGCAATGAACTCGTTTTTCATCCATTGATCAAATGGCCTACCAGGGGACCCATCACACCGCTGTTCCGAAAGTTCTTGTGGAGCAACATCAAAATCACATCGAAAGTCACCATCATGGCATACATCGGCACTTATTACGCCATCGCGTCCGCTATCCCTTTGACATTGGCAAACTATCTGATTGTTGGTCTCTTCGGAGATAACGTGGATCAGTTCTACATCACTTCCTGGAGGATCTTTGTCGGCATGGCCTTCGTCTTTAATATCCTTTCGCCTCTCGCCTATGCTATGCTGAGACATCGCCTTGGTCAAAAGACATTTTTCAAGGCTGTCCTTGAGACCATCAAATGGACACCCATGTTCTTGCTCTTCTTTGGCGGCATCTCCTTCCATCTCCTCAAGGCTCTCCTCTGTCATTTCTTCAGCATCAAGATGGAATGGACCACAACCGCAAAGGAAATTGAAGCGTCTGGCTTCAGAATCGGCCTTGATAGAATTGTCCGAGACTTCAAATGGATGTACCTCATCATTGTTCCCATGGCCGGTGGAATGGTTTATCTAGCAGTCTACGCACCGAGAGGTTGGCAGATCAAAGATTTCGCAGCCATCGTTCCTATCGCCAACCAGATTGGTTGTCATGCACTTTTGCCGTTTGCGCTTGGTCTATTCTAGAACTCCACCGCTCCTGTGTCAGATTCTTGTAAAGTGATCCAGCGCTATTAATTCTTAAGGAGTCTGACGGAGGATTATAATGTCTACTTGCTCCCTTGGCTTGGGTAATTGGATATAGAAGGGAGTGGTTTTCACATGACATTTTGGCGGCTTTTGCTTGGGGGCGTCGCAGGGAACGATATTTACTTTTGTCAGAACGGCGCATTACCTTGTCCAGATAACGAATGGCATTTGAACATATTCTTGGAGAGCGAATCATCCACACTCCGTCATCTTGCTACAATCAACATCTCATTGACGTACACAGACAAATTAGCTGATTCGAGACACGTTCCTGTTACCAGATCATCATAGTGGCTCCAGCAGCTAAGCCTTTCGAGTAAAGCTAAAGTCAGAGATTCGATGCATTCTTCACGCAAAGTGGACTGAGTTCAGCTGCCCAAGAGGGTAACAAGCTGGCGTCTCCAACAGCAAAAATTCCAGATTGGCGAACAGGTTCTAGTACAGTACATATCGTATTCACATTAGTCGAGCATTCAGATTACACAATCCTCATTACCAAGAATGGGTGGACAGATGCGGGTCAACCTAAGGTCACCACACTGTACTGGTAGATATATCCGTATTTAGCGCCCGCCGCCGCCTTCATCCTCATTGATCATTTGGATGAGCAGACATTGTCCACTACCTGGCTCTATCCTCAGCCGGCCGTCAGAACGACACAGAGCATTCGCAAACAATGTAGAGGACATTCATTAGGGACATTTCCTGGGGTACATGATTCCGAGACGTTGGTTGCCGGTTTCCTCCTGGTCTCTCGCCGCATCTGATAGGCTGTGTCACATCATCATCTAATCCTCTGAACCAGTTTCCCCTCGGCTGGACGACAATATCACCAGGTCATCAGGAGAAGTGTATATGTCTTCAAGGTCCTGTAGCATAGAGACCGTCCGGACCAGATGCGTCCGCGAGCGAATAAAGATGTTAAATGTTCGGTGCGCTTCGAAGATGTGTCGACCAGGTTCCGGCTTCTGGCTGATATAGAAAGTGGTCGTAAATGCTGGAACTTGGTCTTTCTCACACATAGTATGATGCTGCCTATCGACCATATTAGATGACCATGGTTTTGCATATTTGGGAGAACTTCCAAAAGTTCGAACCTCTCCAACCTTTCACCATTTAATCGAGCACACACTCCAACTTTCTAATGAAGATACGGATTGCTACAGCTGAGATACTCCGAAGGTTCCAAAATGACAAGCATTGTTTGAGAGGCAGGTAATTCTCGGCCAGTGATGGATCAAATCGTGATGGGCTTTCAGTTCAAGCACTCAAGATATTGGCGACCTTTTAATGTTGAAAGCGGCATGGGTACTCGTTCTTTCCCGGATCTCTTAGTCCACAGATATCACTTTCTGAAATATTGTTTCAGGAAGATTTGCCGCCTTTTAAGGAGCGCAGGATGTGATTGGGGCATACCTTAACCTGATCCCTACCCAGACACGTATTGACACCAGCTGGTGCTTCTCAGAGATCTCCTATAGCATGTTTATGATCAGCAGATGGCTGTCACTCTTGTGAATCATCGCCGTTCGACCGTATCGCCAAACATGCTTCATGGCCACCCTTCGATGCCTGTCGCTTCTATCCTCAGCCATCAGAATCTCCCAGATGAGGAAATATATGAGAATCAATCATCCACAGGTTCTTTTTCGGAACATCGCACGAAATGCAGTGTATGGTGGCTGTCTCCTTCAGGACAGTGCTTGCTGGCTAACGGCATGGCCTGAGGCAGGCAATCATGCTACACTTCGCTTCACATCCTCCGAGGAGAGCCTGGTCCTAACCCAGAGCGCATTCGATGATAGATTATTCGTCGAGACTCTGTGTGCGATGAACGACAACTCGAAGGATAATGTATACTCGGTCCTTTCTTCTATTGATGGAGGGCTGTTAAGGTGGAAACGTCATCCATCATTATCACCATATCGAGAAATTATCTGCTGCGATCAGTTACATCTCTTTATTCCTCCGACTTGCAGGGCAGTCATCAGGCGTCTTGGAACCGTCTGGAGAATTGTTCCTCTCTCTCATGTGGGATTCATCACAAACCAACAACACGTTCTCAACATTGATCAAGATGACCCATTCTTCGACCTGTGTGGAGACTCAATCTCGCCCCAGAAGTGGCCTCGTTGTCAACGCGAGCCGGGTTGGACATGGACTTGCAAGATGCCATTGGTTTCCCCTACTGACGCTACAGATACTTCCTATCTCCGGCCAGATTCAACGACCGGCAAGAGATCCGCGAAACTAAACTATCTTCCAGCATGGGCTCAACTAGTGCTAGCATTCACCCCACTGGCCTTTATCCGTCCCACTCCCAACAAGGAGGGTGGGTGCGAGTTACTTACTGGGGCGCGTCAAAAAGTTCGGCGAATTCTCATCCCCATTTTCATCCCCACAACGAAATGCCCACTAACAGGAGGAGTAAAGCTAAATGCTCTTTCAGCAAGCAAGTAATGGTCTAAACTGAAAATAGTGTTTATAGCAAGGTAGTCAGCGAGTCAGCGAGTCAACGCTATCCTTCGAGATCCCGTCAGCCAATGGTCTGGGGATATGTTGAGTTTGAATGTTCAACCCCAATTCGAGGGTTGCTATTCCTGGCAATGTGGTCTAACCAGTAATGTGCTAGCTTTGTTGCTAGTCAGCCACGTCTTGGATGTCAAAGAAGACCCTTGGAAAGTCACAGATTTATTGATCTATTCACTCGGTTGCTGGTTGTCATTGTTCACCTGTGAATCTGCTGCTCCCCTAGTGAGGTTATTGACATTGTCTGAATTCACCCTACATTTGACAAACATAACATTGTGCAATATCAAACGATAGATTTGCTCATATTTGCTCATATTTGCCTTTGACACCCCACCATCCAAACATTGATCTTCGACCCTCAAGATGGCTGTCCAACGCTCGCCTGCTCTGCCTCCCAGGCTTTCAGGTCTCATAGACCCATCTAGACAAGCTGAGTATCCCATATTATTGGGAAAGAGTTTTTCCGAAACAGGAGGAAATGCTGCCCAGTTGTTAAACGTTCGCTACAACTGGAAATCAAAGCAGATTCCCCAACGTCAAGTCATCACGGAGAATCAGACTTCGTCCGAATCTTACAAGCTAGTCGTCCGAGAAGGCACTTCCGAGCCCTATAAATATAATGGCACAGCAGATCCGAAAACCACTGATCCGGACCTAGTTGACCTGGCCTTGGTCTTCGACAAAGAGAAATCTGCCTTTACGCTCGAATCAATTTCTAAATCACTCAACTTCAACCTTACTTCTGCAATCACGAAACCGAACATTGAGCAGCTGCAACAGCTTGAGACTATCAACGACATCTCGAGAGATGCTTCCAACCACCAAGACCAAGAGGAGCTTGGAGAAAGTGACGAGGATGGGGCTGATGCTGAGAATCCCTATGACTATCGACACTTCCTGGTTGATGCTAGGAAGGAGGCGGAAGTAGGGAGTGCCACTCCAAAGCCTGTGACACCAAATATGCCAAGTCCCGCTCCAGGAACCTCCGGAAGAATGGCATCGAGCAAGGCCGCCACGTCCCTTCAGTCACCATTCATGGGTCCGTCCATGTCTAAGCGAAGAAAGGTGGAACCGAAAACCACGGCTCGTGGTGTACCGAACACGAGTCATCCTGCTTCATCAAATGCCGCCAAGTCAAAATCCCGGACCACTGCTACGGCCCCGAGGGGTAGGGGAGGCCCTAAGTCGGCAGAGAGAGTTGACTTGACAGATGAAGAGAAGGACCAAGCACAGACCAGTCGTGGCAGGCAAGCACCTTCCCGAGTCGCATCAGCCGCTCAACAACATACACAATCGCCCCAAATCATCGTCGATGAGGCATCCGATCTCACAATCGACATGGGTTCTCCTCCTGTCAAAGCAAAGCAGAAGCACCGAATCAACGTGGATGCATTCGCCAGCCATTCTGCTTCACAATCACGTGCAAATACAGCGTCGGCGTCACCACAAAGCAGAGATTCACGAGCAAATAGTGAAGATGGTGCTGAAGATGACGCCAATTTGGACGATGGCGATGAAGACGATGACATTGAGGACCTGGCTTTACCTTCTCCACGGGAAACTAGGGTGGCGAGCAACTCTATGAGCAGAGTCACTCAAGATCGCGCCGAGGAAGAGGATGAGGACGATGACGGATTGGCGGCGGAATTAGAGGCCGTTTTTGATCAGGAAGATGATGTGGATCATGAGACAGTTGGATTGGGGATATCTGGCAACCAGCACCAACCGCAGATGCCAAGCGAAGAGGAAAGCGAGGTAAGCGAGGAGGAGTAACTGGTAGCTCTCCTTGTATAGCGGCCTTGAATTTCGTGGACCTCTTGGGCATGTCCTTAAGACATCTGTTTCTCTTAGCTTACCAGAGATGATATGTAGGGTCTGTGTCAAAGGCTTCGCGGCCTCCAATGCCATGATTGTTTCCTTGCTCTGTGCTCACTTTGATTGCTGATATACGCGAGTGTGAGGGTACAAAAAACTAAAAGTTAATATAAATCTTAAATAAAAAGTATTAATTTTCTATGATCTAATAGTTAAGGGTTTTAGCATAATAAAAGTTAGGGAAGACGCTTCTTCTAACACGCGTCAGAGGCGTCTCAACCATAATACTGCATTAGGTTAGCTTCAGGGTGCAATTCCTGGCAATCTCCAAAAAGTTGAGCGGCGCAGAAATGATTGAATGAGATGAATAAAATACCAGAGCTTGACTTTCCACTGGAAAGCAATTAATTCGAACCCAGCTCCATCTCTTCCTTACCCACACAACCTACCGAGAGACTTGCAGGCCCGATATCTGCTGGCATCCATATATCCCACGTAGTCGGCACAGCTGACCAGAGTCTCCCTAAACATGCAGGCACCTGTGGTGGTTATGAGTGAGCAAGGTCAAGAAACATTGTGGCCCTGGAAGAGCTAATTTCTGGATAGACACCCAGAACGGGGACAGACAGATCGGGCGAAAAGCACAATTATCCAATATCACTGCAGCAAAGACGTATGCTTTTCCGGGCTTTCACGCTCTGTGAACTAACTCCGTTCTCCAGCGTTGCCGACATTATTCGATCATGCTTGGGCCCGAAGGCGATGCTGAAGATGTTGCTAGATCCGATGGGCGGTATAGTGCTTACGAACGACGGCCATGCAATCCTCCGAGAAATTGAAGTTGCGCACCCAGCTGCAAAGAGCATGATCGAGCTTAGCAGAACGCAAGATGAAGAGGTGGGAGATGGCACAACAACAGTCATAATATTGGGTATGTTGACCGCGACCTTGGGACCACCCTTCTGACGTTGCTAGCTGGTGAGATTCTGGCACAGGCGCTTCCCCAGTTAGAACGAAACATCCATCCAGTTGTCATCATCTCAGCTTTCAAACGAGCGTTGGCAGACGCTCTTGCAATCATAGAGGACATTTCCCGCCCAGTCAATACCTCCGATGACAAATCTATGATCGAACTGATCGAGTCTTCCATCGGCACAAAGACTATAGCCCGATACTCAGCATTGATGTGTTCGCTGGCGCTGCGTGCCGTTCGGACAGTCTCCCAAGATCAATCATTCGCATCTAACACACACCTCACCAACGGCACCCCTTCTAGTAGTCCGTCCAAGAAACCCGCATCCGCTCCGAAGGTTCACGAAGTCGACATCAAGCGTTATGCAAGGGTAGAGAAGATACCCGGTGGGGAGATTGAGGCATCGCAAGTCCTTGACGGAGTCATGCTCAACAAAGATATCACGCATGCTTCTATGCGAAGAAAGATTACAAATCCCAGAATAGTCCTCCTCGACTGCCCCTTAGAGTACAAGAAAGGCGAGTCACAGACGAATGTTGAGATCAGCAACGAAGACTCGTGGAACCGAATCCTCCAGATCGAAGAAGAGCAGGTGAAAAAGATGTGCGACGCTGTATTGTCAGTCAAGCCCGACCTGGTCATAACGGAAAAAGGCGTATCAGACCTGGCACAGCACTACTTCGTCAAGGCAAATGTAACGGCACTGCGAAGAGTAAGGAAGACAGACAATAATAGGATAGCGCGAGCGGTTGGAGCGACCGTCGTTAACAGAGTGGACGATCTACAGGAGTCCGACGTAGGCACGGAATGCGGCCTCTTCGAAATCGAAAAGATTGGAGACGAGTACTTCACCTTCCTCACAAAATGTAAGAATCCCAAGGCTTGCACCATTCTCCTCCGTGGCCCCAGCAAAGACATCCTGAATGAGATTGAACGAAACCTCCAAGACGCAATGAGCGTCGCAAGAAACGTCTTATTCCACCCGCGACTATCCCCGGGCGGAGGCGCAACAGAAATGGCTGTATCGGTGAGACTAGCACAGAAAGCTAAATCAGTGGAAGGCGTCGCTCAATGGCCCTACAAAGCCATCGCAGACGCCATGGAGGTCATTCCACGAACCCTGGTCCAGAATGCAGGAGCAAGTCCGATCCGCATCCTGACCAAATTGCGGGCCAAACATGCAGAGGGTGGCAGTTCCTGGGGTATTGACGGCGATACTGGGAATGTGGTCGACATGAAGGAATATGGAGTGTGGGAACCGGAGGCGGTAAAGAGCCAAAGTATCAAGACCGCATTGGAGTCAGCTTGTCTGCTATTGAGAGTGGATGATATTTGCTCGGCCAAGAGTGCCAAACAAGGTGGTGGAGATATGGGTGGTGGAGGGGAGGATTGAGATTGAGTGTGGACGTGAACTGGTAGAAGGCAGATGATGAATGAGAATTGAGCATCTGAATCCTTCCCACCCATGTATCGATGTCTTAGATAGAAACCACTGAATATTGTTCATTCATGTGGTGGTTAAGAAGTAACAAGCCACACAACATGGCCTCTCCGTATCTCTAGTTACCCACCATGACCTTCCCGACGATCTCGCCCGCTTCTCCTGTCTATTGATAGAGGTAAGATACCAGCTCAACCACGACAGCTCCAGCGGTGTGCTTCAACTCCTGAATGGCAACAACACCAGCTCGCCGACCGGTTGAGGTGCAGCCTGCGCTTAAAGACACGAACAGGCCGTGTTGCCCCGTGCCCAAAGACGTGGGCTGGGGACGTGTTGGACGAATCGAAGTACACGAAATACGGTCACTTTCGCATGTTGGGCAGCTGACTTGCCATTGGGGAAAGAGATGGTGATTGAACGTCTGAGTTCAACAAACACCAATCATCAACCCTCCTCTCGATCCATATCATCTCTCCCTCTCTTCCCCTTCCCCGTTCCCATCCCCCCCCCGCCTCCGGCTCTCCTCCTTCCCTTCAACGTTGCCCCCTTTTTCCCCCTCGCCTCATGCAGCTCTTTCATCTCCATCACCGCTCCCCTTTGCGCCTCGCCCACCCTGTCCGCCAAAACCATCACCTCATCCTTGACCGTCTCGTATTCCTTCAACTTCTTTCCCAGCGCCGCCTCAATCCTCAGCCACAACTCGACATCATACTGCGTCACGAAGCTGATGGCATTGCCGCTTTTGCCGGCCCGTGCTGTCCGCCCGACTCGGTGGATGTAGGTCTTGCTATCGGGCGGGAGATCGAAGTTGAGGACGACATCTACCGAGGGGATATCGAGGCCACGGGCTGCGACGTCTGTGGCAACTAGGATGGTGCGGGATTTGGCGCGGAATTTATTCAGGGCGCCCATTCGTGCGTTCTGGGAGAGTTGACCGTGCAGCGGTATTGCGCTGAAGCCAAGCAGGCGGAGCAGGATGGCGATTCGTTGTGTTTCGTTTACTGTTCGGGTGAAGATTATGGTGGTTTGGCCGGCTAGCTCGTTGAGGAGAAACACGAGGTAGATGTCTTTATGTTTGTGGGGGAAGAAGAGGTAGGATTGTAAAAGTGTGGAGACGGTTTGGTACTTGTCCGTGCTGACGCTGACCCGTAGAGGATTCGAAAGGGACGCTCGTTGAAGACTCTCCACTTTAGATGACATTGTAGCAGAGAAGAGATATGTCTTCCTTCCGTCTCTGGGCAGAATCTTCAATATCTTGTCCAGTATCGGCCCAAAGTCTAGATCTAGTAATCGATCGGCCTCGTCCATGACCAGATACTTCAAGCCGCGCAAGTTGAACCCCTTGGTATTTTCGAGATGGTCTAGCAGTCGACCAGGAGTCGCAACGATAATATGTGGCTTCTTCCCTAAGGATATCGATTGGGGGATCATATCCATACCACCGACCAAGACGGTGCATCTGACCGAAATGAGAGAGCCCATTGCCTCAATGGCCTGCGAGATCTGGTAGGCTAATTCCCGAGTTGGCGCAAGGACGAGTGAGTGAAACGATTGCGGCTTGTCCATTAAAGCTGCGGTTTGTTAGAGCACCCTATTCCCTTGAAGAGTACTACTTACCTTGTAGTATAGGCAGCGAAAAAGCTGCTGTCTTTCCACTGCCGGTTTCTGCCAGTCCAATGAGATCTCGTCCTTGAAGAGCAAGAGGGATTGCTTCTGCTTGGATAGGCGTCGGAGCTTTGTATCCCAAGGCGACACACGCTTCGCAAAGAGGGTCGATCACTCCCAGATCCTTGAATGTCTTCGTCCCGACCTCATCATCAGCTTTACCCTCGGAGAAGATTTCATCTCCGCCAGTCGGAGTCACAGGCGCGGAAGGGCTGGAAGAGTCGTGACCAGTATTAACCTCGTGACTGAGCTTTCGCCGTTTGTTAGAGGACATCCTCTAGAGAGCACCGGAATGTGAGGTTCAAGTGCGCTTGGTAGTGTGTAAATTATTATTTGCACCGAACTATGTATGTGCATTTCAATCTTTTGCCAAAAATAAAATCGTCACCAGCGGGGATCGTTCCGCACGCCGATCTCCAAACTGCCAAAAAAAAGTTCGAGGCACTTCAAGACCCCGTCGGTATTTCCATTAGAATCCTCATATCTCACACTGTGCATATGGCGAAACGACGGACTAAAAAGCGCACTCATGCAAAGGCAAATGGCGCTGTCAACGGTCCTGGAAGGCCCGGCGGGACGAACAGGTCACCAAGGAGCATGGTCATTCGAATGGGAGCTGGCGAGGTCGGGCCTAGCATCACCCAATTGGCCAAGGACGTGCGGGCCATGATGGAGCCAGACACAGCAAGTAGATTGAAGGTTTGTTTCCCAGCTGAGATCCATTCAAGAGCGAAAGTGGCTCACTCTGGTGTCCAGGAGCGAAAGGCGAACAAACTTAAAGACTACATCTCGATGGCAGGACCGCTGGGAGTTTCCCATCTGCTACTCTTTTCGCGTTCAAATTCGGGCAATACCAACCTAAGAGTCGCATTGGCTCCTCGAGGCCCGACGCTCCATTTTCGGGTTGACAATTACTCGCTCTGCAAGGATGTGACCAAAGCGCAGAAACATCCCAGAGGAGGAGGAAAAGAATACCAAACCGCGCCGCTGCTCGTCATGAACAACATGAAGACACAACAAGACGCATCTTCAGATCCTATCCGCAAGCAGCTTGAAGACCTTACCACAACCATCTTCCAAAATATGTTTCCCCAGATCTCTCCTCAAACCACTCCTCTTTCCTCTATCCACCGCATTATGCTTCTCAATAGAGAGTTGTCGAACGCCGAAGACGGCACCTTCGTCCTGAACCTCCGCCACTACGCCATTACCACAAAACAAACGGGCGTCCCGCGGAGGATCCGGCGACTCGACCCGAAAGAGCAAAGACAACGGCAGAAAAAAGGAAGCGCCATTCCCAATCTTAGTCGGCTAGAGGACGTGTCGGAGTATCTGCTTGATCCTAGTGCTGCTGGCTTTACATCAGCCAGCGAGACAGAATTAGACACGGATGCTGAAGTAGAAGTACTGGAAGCGCAGACTCGTCGAGTGTTGAGCAAGAAGCAGGTACAGAAGCTAAGAGATGGGAAGTCGAAGGACCGAAGTAGTGGCGGGAGCAACGTGGAAAAGCGAGCAGTCAAGCTAGTCGAGCTCGGGCCGCGGATGAAGCTTCGTTTAGTCAAGGTGGAGGAAGGGGTCTGCGAAGGAAAAGTCATGTGGAATGAGTTCGTTACGAAGTCGAAAGCAGAGGAGCAGGAGATGGACCAGAAATGGGCACAACGACGGAAGGAGAAAGAGGAGAGGAGGAAAGAGCAGCGAGCGAATGTGGAGAGGAAAAGGCGGTTGAACGCCAACACGAGAGCTAATTCGAATGGCGATAGAGCTGAAGATGAGGAGATGGAAGACAGATGGGACAGCGAGGATAGCGATGTGGATGATGTGAGTTTAGAAGACGGGGCTGATGAGGGTGAGTGAGCGGCTGTTCGCGGCGGGATTGACACAATGCTTTTGGTATCGAGCGTCATCCTGCCAGAAGGTTGGCTCGAAGTGGTTCTATTTGTGCTTGTGATTCAAGTCAGCGCGGATGGACTCGAAGTCGCCAGCAAATATTACGAGCGGCACCCTACCAAGCCACGTAAGTATCGGGCCAAATAGACATTTTCCTGTTGGCGGCGAAGCTGATACCCAACACCCCCAACAGCAGTCAGATTCCACCCTCATTGCCTCAGGGCCGGTACTGCCTGGCACGGGGTGTGAAAATGATATAGCGAGGTGTGAGGGTGCAAGATGACGAGAATAACGGTCAATTCACAGGCGGGAAATGCAGCTGGAGAAGTACTGATAGGCTCCGGAAGGACAAAGTCATTCTCTATTTTAGAAAGAAACAAAGCAAGTGTATTTCCACACCTGCTCAATCTGCATCACTCCGTATTCGCCGTCTGTATCAATGCAATCGTAGCCATGACCATCATCATCATTAGATAGAGAACGGTCGATGCAGAACCCCCTCACTTCTTCATCGCATACCTCTTCGTCCAATCCCTCGCCTCCTTCTCCCAAGCCGCACGATCCCTCCTCAACTCCTCCGCAATCCTCCCTTCTACCGCATCATCCGGGTTTGGCTCTCTGAGCAACTGTCTGGCAAACCCCAGCACCGCCGCGATCTTGGTGGACGGCTTCCATTCTTCGGGCTTTAGTATGCCAAGACACATCACGCCAGCTTCGGCGGGGGCTGGCGTGGTGATTCCGGGAGTGTTGGCGGGGTTGGCGGTGGTCGGCCCGGAAGAGATGTTCGGGTGATAGACTTTGGTGGTGAAAGTGAGGGTGGGAGGGCGGAAGGGGTACTGGGGAGGTAGGGTGAGGAGGAGGTGGAATGTGCCGCCCTGTTTTTACCGCTTTGGTTAGACTTGCCAGTAAGTAGAAGACGAAAGGTTGGCTATAGGCATTGGATGAAGAGACGAGCGTCCAAGACCGCCCTATGGAAGACACAGAGCAGATTTATACATGCTTTTGATTCAGCCACATGGGCTCAGCCATATTTTCAATGATAGGAAATTGCATCTCGGAAGCAGATAGTACTTCTCATTCTGGTCTCGTGGTGGGGAGGCAACTTTGAATAGAGACTCAAGCACTATTGAAAAATGACTTACAGCATAAGGAGAATCTGCTGGACCTTCCATGGTAACCTTCCACTTGAGGAGATCTGATTCATCGGCCAGTGACACTGTGATGCCTGCTGGAGGGGAGCTGGTGAGCTCACTCAGCTCCTGAAAGAGGTCATTAGCTACAATGATCATGGCTAGTCGTCTGCAGGATCTACATACTTTGGTGATGCGCTTTTGACTGCCTTGCGCCATCTTGAGTCAAGGCTCTTGGATTCTTATTCGCCAACAGCCGTTCCAGGAGATTTGTGGGAACAAATAGTAGATAGGGCTTGGAGATGAGAATGAGAGAAGGGCAGCCCAAGCGGATGTGATTTATTGAAGGACGGTGGGTACTTGGTGGCGTGGAAGTGCTTGAACGATGCTGGAGTTGCAAATGGAGGATGGTCATCTATTCTACTGAAGCTACAGCCTATTTGAGGTTGAAGTCACTTTTTAATACTGAGCAGGCTACCAACATGAGAAAAATTCGGAAAACACCAGAAGTTTCCCTCGTTAAAGAATGTTGCCTGTCAAAACATTGATCTTATTAGCGGCCCTAGTCAAACATCTAGAAGCCGTTTTAAAATATTTTGCTTGATCTACTGCTTGTGGAATAGATTTGATTGTTTGCAAACGCCCCAGCGTCAGAGGCACCGCATTGGGTCGCTCGAGCGCACCCTCCTTTCGTTCTCTTCTTTCCTCAGGTGAAAATGGTCCCAAGTTGCCTACCCTGCTTCTAGGCCCCTTGTCGACGAGGAATCAGCACGCCCGACCAAGATCCATACAGACCTCTTCTGTCGATTTAGGGAATCTGGAACCCGGTTCAACCCTCACTTCCACTACTTCGAAACGTTGCACAGAGCTGACAGTACTGATGTGTCAAGTCCAGCACTGGTTGCGGTAAGTTCGTTGCCTGGACAATACTTCTCACCTTGACTGCTCCCTCTTCTTCAATCAGCTTTCGAACCGTATAAAGTAGCTCGGGCGAGAACTAGAAGACTGTCAATTGGTGTCAACCTATGGAAGCAGTACCAGCTTACTTCAGAGTACCATCTGTACTGCCAGCAGATCAGACGGATCAGTGCCCCAAGCATTCCCCTTGTATCACCTTCTCGCTCGCACAATTTCAGGATCCCCTTCATCGCTTGTGGTGAAAACCTAATGGCAAGACATTGGTGATATGCTTCGATAGCCTCGTTGAAATGATGCAGTCTCTCCGCTAGCTCGCCAAGCAACTCCCACTCCGTAGCAGATTTCTTGTATTGAATCTGCTGTTGTCGGTATTGCGCCATTTCGGTTCGCCATATGGTATAGATTCTCAGATCTTCATAGAGTCCCATGAACAAGCTGTCCAGCCATCTTTCACACAGTCGCTTATTTTGGAATTGAGAATAACCTGGATGTGATGGATTGGGGTCTTCATTGCCTGACGTTACCAATTCTGACGCGATGGTCGGTTCTGGCTTATGCATTGACTTTTCCGCAGCACGCATTCTGGTTTCCGCCTCCCCGTTCGTCTGGGCTGGCCCTGAGGAGGCTTCTGAATCCCCTTCTTCTCGATTCTCTTCGCTGTCATCTCCGTTAATCTTCGATGCTCCCACATTGGCACCATTTGGGGTGCCCGAGAGCCCCACTGTACTGGCATTTCGGCTCGAGGATGGCTTTGAAGCGATCGCAGTCTGTCGCTCCGTACGATACTCTTCCTCCATCACGAAGACTTGGCTTCGGGTCCGGAGAAGCTGATCCCAGCCAATTGCTTTTGCAATTTCCGTCAAAATGTTGTACGCCTTTAAGAAAGTTCCTTGGTACGTTGCCGCCTGCAGCTTCCGGAGCGAAGCATGTACCTCATCGTAAGGCTCGCCTTGTTTGGGTTGACCTTCATCAATTTCGTCCAACAAGCTCTCGGGTAGCAGTGGAAGCAATATCCGCGAAGGCTCAGGCATTCGTGGCGAGTCTTTGTCTTGATAAGTAAACATGGGACATGAGTTCAGGGTAAGAAGTGCCAAATCCCATTGCTCGACTGAGACATATACCTCAGCCAGCCGCGCCCAGGTTCCAAATTCACTCGGGGCAGCAGTGACACCTCGCTTGGCACATTCAAGGGCAAGTTCGCCCTCACCTTTGCCCTGGCAGAACGCTGCTTGACAATCAAGAAGAGCGTAGTCCATCGGCACTTCCTGGAGAGCATCATGCATGAGTCGCACCGCCTGGACTTCCTCATCGCCCGCTATCAGGACTTGCGCGAGTAGAGATGATACTTCGACATCCTTTGTTCGAATCTTCTCGAAGAGGTTGATGCCCGAAGTATATCTCCCAGTGGTCTTGATGTATTTGAGCAGCCCAGCGGTAAGGTGATTACACACGAGATTCGGGACCTGGATCTCTGGGTCCGAACCAAGCTGCCGACCATTGAAGAAGAGTTGCTCTGCAGCATCAAGAAATTTATGCTCGGTTTCTGTGTTCGTGATTGGGTTGAATCTCCTTACACCAACAATCTTCTTGATGGTATCCCCGCTCCCATCGTCCGCATAGGAATAAGCCCGGAGAATGCCGCACAGGAACGTTTCCAGCCACAGACTCTCCGATGCTACCCTTCTGTCACCTTTCTCATCCACGCTGTAGCTTTCCACACTTCCTGGTATCTTGACCTCCACTCGCATGTCCAGGTTCGAGAACGCATTGTAGCAGCAATAAAGGCCTGATACAACCCTGTGCGTCCTGTCGGCCGAGTTGTAGATCAAGGTATTGACATATGCTGCTAAACTGGCGGAAGAAGAAGCGTCAACTCCTGTGACATGATGATAGACACCGGTCTGTTTCCCGTTTCCTTTGCTCGATTGTTTGACGAGATATACAATGTCTGGAGGTCCTAGCTCTCGAATGCCCTGTAAAGCTTCGGTTCGTGCATCGATTGCAGAAAAGAGATCTTCATCTTCGATGATTCTGGGGAGCAAGAGGTGTCAGCAATTCTTTCGTGAAGCAACCTCTCACCGCATGCCAGCGTCGTATTTAGTGGAAATGGAGCAAGGTCACCTACTCTGGGACGGCGGGCGTCACCATCGCTCGCAAAGCCTGGTATAGCCGAGTGAGGGAGACCTTTTTCACCTGCTAGTACAACTCATCTGACCTGCTGGTGATTGTGGTCCACTGTGAGACGACTTGTGAGGGATTAAACGTATCTGAGTGAATAGTAAATCAATTGCTTGCGATAGTTACTAAAGGTCGAAGCTGTGGTTGTAGCTTGTGCATTGGAAGGGGAATTATTTTGTCTCTCCGCAAGTCATCATGCAAACAGCTGCGGCTTGTGGAGGATCACGACAACGCGTGTGTGATCTACATTGTATGTATATAACCGAGCTCGACACGCCGACCTGAAGCATGGAAATGGGAATCTATGAGCCGAAGAAGACGCAGCAGTTTTGTGCCGCTCTAGACATTTTCAAGCAGCGCAATGTCTGGTTTCCCTGCATTGAATATCGAGCCGGAGGTTGACAACATAGAAGAAGTTGACGATACTCGCGAGATTCAACTCGAGGAAGCCCTCAAGCTCTATCAAAATGCTCTCAGACTCCATTCTCTGGGCCCGGAATATCTAGATCAGGCCGCGAATGCATACACGGAGCTCTTCAACTCGGAGATCTTCCGCTACCCTGAAGCCATTTCTGAATTTACACGAGACGAGTTGGACAATGGCCCAGGGGATACACTCACCGTTGATCAATCACTGCCACAGGTGAATCTTGTTCAAGGCGCAAGTACAGAAGCATCTCCTAGCTCTCTACCACAAATCATCTATCTTTCATTCAAGAATTACGGTCAATTTCTGCTTGAACAGGATGCATTCGCCAACCCCCACTACGACTCCCAGGATGGATCGAAGAAGTCCTCTTCTCACGACATTATTCTAATATGTTCGAAGGCACTAAAACAGTTTGCTCAAGCGCTAGAGAGGGATGACACTGATTTGGATCTGTGGAGGAAAGCGGCGAGGGTCGCCCAGATCTGCAGCAGTGATAGGACCATACGATTCTGTCTTGAGAGCGTTTTAGCAGGAGACGATGACAGAGCCAACGAGGTGGTGGAGATACTTGGACTTGATGAAGCGCTCGCAGCAGGACAGCTGGAAGATATTGTTGGCAGTCTTGAAGATGATCTTTCTTTTATACAATCTTCCAGCAACAAACCAAGAAAAGATCTTCTGAGGCTCCTGGGAAAGACCATCGAACCATTTCCCTTTCTGCCCTCTCAGTCTCATCTTTCTCGAGATCGTCATCCGAAGCGTAGGGCCCTTGCTTATCAGCCGAAGCGATGGGTTGTGCAAGCTACCACTCGAAGCTGGCATGGAGTCGGGCAGGCAATCCTGCAGGCTTTGAATGACGAACAGCAATCCAACATAGATCCAGGTCCTGGGGCTGCTGTACAGATCGACGTCCCTGCCGAGCCCGAATTGAGCGAAAGGAGCAAGGTGGATATCGGCTCCCTGCCCTCTAAGGTGGAATCCAGACCGGCCAGAGAAGCTAGTGGCAGGGACTCAGAGATGACAGACGGTGCCGCTCAACCCTCAACGGATTTCGTTCTCTCTGTCAAGACTGAAACGGTCACCCCATCAGAGAGAGACTCCTTGCCAGATCCAGCTTTGGATATTGTCATGGACTCGTCAAAGGCTGAAGCGTCGTCGAAAAGAGCCAACGAAATATGCCAAGGGGACGAAATAAATAAGGAAGGCGGACAAACTTGTCTTCCAACCCGGAAAAGATCTGCTGAGTTTGCTGGCCATGATGAGCCAGTAGATAATGGACGGTCGAAAAGCAAAAGACTGCGCAACCGTGAGTCCAATGCTGATGCCATGCTGCAAGAAGAAGAGACCGCCAACACCCTTGCCAAGTACTACCAGGATCAACTCAGTGACCTGGCTTTGGCGGATCAGTGGTTGTTCTCCACCAGCGCTTCTTTGCTATCAAAACTTGGAGTTGAGGAACTCGGATCACTCGAAGATCTGCGAGATGACATCCTTCATGCGTCAAATGTGGAGGACTTATCAGACACCGATCTTTCCGCAGATGCGATTGCCATGAAAGACCTTCGATCCGCCCTAAGTTCGTGGACGGAGGAGAAAGCGAGCGCAGCGGCGTACGGGTATGGTGGGAGTACTTTTGGTGGAGGAAAAGCTGGCCTTACACTCTTCCTTGAGCACTCGAAGACCGCCGTACCGAGGTCAGATAGCATCTTACCATTTGCATCGAGTAAAGATTTGTTTCAATTTATAGCTCGATGCAACGAGGGGTGGTATAGTATTCAGCAGACGGCCTTTGACTGGCTTGAAGCACTCATACAACCATCTTTATCGTACGATGCCACTTGCTCTTCGAATTGTCTAACGCAATCATCATACAAGACTACTCTCTGGCCTGAAGATTTGAAATTAACCGTGGTTCAACTCATCGTTCGTGCAGACGAGTACATCTACCAAGTCATGCAGCAGCGACTGGACGAGCTGGTCAGCCGAATGCTCTCGATCGCCCAAGGCTCGTCGGCAGAGTATACACTTCGAGATGTCGCCATTGCAGACGCGGCCGAAACATTATATGAGTTACACCTTGACATCTACTCAAGGATCACAAATCCAAGCAGTCAAGTGGACAGCGCGACTCGAGTTCTTCAGCACGATCGTTTGCAGAGATGGAGCGAGCTTGCAGGATCTTTCATCAACATCTATGCAGACCGTGCAGATGATGTTCCTGTCCAGCAATGGCATGTCATTCGTTTCATATGGACTGCGACCACACATGCTAACATGGCGGACAATACCTCCCAAGAACATATCACGCTATGTCTCCAGGACCTTCAAAAGCTGATGAGTCTAGCCGGCAATCCAACTATAATCTTACCCAACAATGCAGCACTGCCTGAAATCTCTTTCTCGGCTGTGGAACAGGAAATCTCACGAATCAGTACCCTTGATTTCTTCATGAGCGTTTTCAACGATGACTCGAAAGACCCTATTGGTGTGATCGAAAGTCTAGAGCCAATACTAGAACCTTGCAGTCAGCCATCAGCTATTAGCCCTATTTCTGTTGATGGCTCCGAGCAGCCGTCGCCGATCTCGGTTCAAACGCAGCAACTAATTGAGTTTCTTGAGTCTGGCGATGCGTCGCTGAGATTGTTTCTCTGGCGGCGCCTGCGTGATGCCTACGTCGCCATCGACTATCCCCCCAAAGTATTATCGTGCTATTTAAGAAGTATCGAAGTAATAGTTTCGGAGCTCCTGTCGCAAAGGCACATCCGCTTGGCGACCAATACCCGACAGCTCGCTTTGCTGAAGTGGTTCAAAGAGCTTGACGACATCATCGGCAAATTGCTTCACAGAATCTTAGCCGATTCAGAAGCTTTCGAAGTCGTTGACGAGCCACACCTGCAGAGTTCCTTCTCAACAATCGCTCGACTTTCTCGCATATTGCATAGCATTGTCCTGTATGAGGATGCTGTTCGAGTTGGTCAGCTATCTGAACTCAAAGGAAAGAATATTTCAGGTACGAAATCCCTGGACAAATTTAGAGAAAAATTGCGGGATATGTATGTCCGGATATGGACGCTGCAATATACTTTGTTGAGGGAAGGGATTGCACAAAAGAAGGACCATTTTGAAAATCCTGCGGATGATCAGGCAGCATTTTTACAGTCGCTACATCATGCTCTCGGCTTACGAGGATATTGCAAACATTCCAGCAAAATCTTCTTAAGGCTTCTAAAATCTGAATTGATGACATTGAATACGAAGGACGACTATAGCGCGGACATGGCGCAAGTTTTGTTCGACCTGCATCAGCTCAGGTTCGCCCCTGGGATTGGAGACTGGAACCATGATTGTCCACCAGAGCCACTTGACAAGAAATCAGCGGCACACATTCTGGAGAATGTCGTGTTGCAAGCACGCAAAATGAACATTAAGGATCTGCTCAAGAGTGAGCTGAAAAGCACCATCGAGAAGGTTCAACAAGCGTTGGGAGCACCGAAATCTTCTCCCACGCTGTCCTACAATAGGCGAGTCATCAATGCGTATCTCAAGTCTCCAGTCAATCAATTGCAGCTCTTTCGAGCATCGAGAGGTGAGGGCAGTCTACCCGTACGTATCGTCCAGGCTGAGAGCGTTAAAATCGCTGCATACGGGTGGTATTTCCTTCTTGGACACATAGCGCTTGCAAAATTCAAATCGATTAAGAGGACCAATCCAGGCCCAACAGATGACTTGGACGTTGCTATTACCTTCCTCAAGCAAGATTTGGAGCACGATATTGAGAGATGGGAGACTTGGTTTCGGCTAGCTCAGGTGTATGATGCCAAAATTGAAGAGGAACTTCTTTGGACTGCCGACAAGGTCAACAACTTCCGATCGGATTTGGCGATCCTACAGCGAAATGCGATACACTGCTACGAGATGGCAATGGCAATGTCTATTCGTGGTGCTGATGACAGTGAAGAAACTGCAAATATGGTATCTGAGATGTACACAGGATTTGCGACAAGGTTGTATGCTTCATCTCGAGAGCCCTTGAGCATGGACGCCTTCGACACCAAATATCAACAACGACATTTTACGGGCAGTAATGAGCAATCAGGTCTTTACGAAGGGCCTTCCACACCTTCTATGCGCATATTTGCTGTATGGAGATTCTCGGCGCATCTTCTCCGTCGAGCTCTTGCCGATAAACCTCGGAGCTGGATTAACCATTATATGCTCGGAAAATGTCTCTGGAAAATGTTGACAAATACCGAGCCCGAATCGCCGCGAAGAGTTCTGGTTGAAGAAGTGCTTGATGCGTTCTCGGATGCAATTGAGAATCTACCGGGACGAAAGGACAGCCGCACCGATCCTATACTCGAACCACACTTCAAGCTTGTTTCAGTTGTGCACAAGCTCGTGCATCGAAAGATGTTGACTCCATTGCAAGGTAGCGAAGCACTTCAAGTCACCCCTTGGGCAAGAAACGTGCACCTCGCTGAAGAAGACGATAGCTGGGAACCGTATGTACTGGAGATCTTGAAGAAGCTCGGTCACGCGGACAAATCGAACTGGCATCACCGTATCATCGCTCGTGCGGCCCATGTCATATACGATGACCAGCAGACTATTGCTGGTGCCCTTGGAGCGAAGCACGAATTCACGCAACAGATTTTCACTAAGACCATGACATTGCAAGTATGGAAGCCGGAACATGAACGGGCAGGAAGACATTTCATCTACACAAGTCGTTATGTTCTCTTCTTCGTCAGTCTCCTTAACCAGCTAAATGATAGGGCAAGTCTGGATCAGCTTGTAAGACGCATACGAAGAAGGCCAGGAGATTATCTCAACCATCAACAAGTTTGGGAACAGGTGGTCACCACTTATATCGGCCTATTACGTCGCCTGGCCAAGGTTCCAGTTGGACATGAAGAGGCAGTCTTTCGAGCGATGGACCACGATGAATTTCAAATCAACGCCAGGAAGCTGGAAAGTCATGCTCATGAGCCGGAGACCTCAAATCTGGTCCTCGACATTCTTAGAGACACGATTGAAGTGAAGAAGCTCAACAATTCTCTCATGAAAGGGTCTTTGATTGATGACTTGATTGTCGACTGCTATACTTCCCTTTACCAGAGCTATGTTGCGACCCTGCCGCAGGAGGAGAAAGTAGAGCCAATGGACAGCCAGACTATCCAACATGAGTCAGTTCAGGATGACGGCAACCGGGAACGAATGAAACTTGGTAGTATCTTGACTGCGCAAACAGATGGCAACATGGTTCTTCCCGGACCTGGCACCAGACCAACAGCCCCAGCGTTGCCGACCGTTGGTCCTTCTGGAATGCCAGCACCGCCAGCAAAGCCTGCTCGTCCTAAGACTGTGACTCGTCGAGAGGTCCAACGAAAAGCCGAGGGTCTTATTATACGACCACCTCCAATCAAGACTCCCACACTACTCAAGCACACCGCATTTCCTCGCCCTCCCATTGCGGTTGAGATTCCACAATCGTCGAGCCAGCATGTCCGATCTTCTTCTACAACGGACACTCAAGCAATCAATGTCGGACTTGGCCTGGGTCCCATAGAAGGATCTCGCATCTTGAATCTCCGCGAAGATGCTGTGAACGGTACCAAAAGTGCCGAGAGCTCGAGACCTGGCAGCGTCCATGACAGTGCCGATGATGAGAGCGAATTGAGTGAGCTTGAGGAAGGCGACAATGTGCTCGATGAGGAGGTGGTTGAGGAGGATAGAGTTGAGAGGTTTAACACAGCATTAAGGATGTCAATCCTATACCCTGGCCTCCCCTCAAAGGTGTCAGAGAACGACGATTCGAGTGTGGTCATTAGTGACAGCGAATCTGCTCGGAACGAGCGACCGGAGGATATGAATGTTGATGAAAATGTTGAGTGTGGTAAAGAAAGTAATATGAATGTAATCAATGCTGTGGGCGAAGATACAATGAAAGAGTAGCGGCGGGAGCACGAAATGTGAGATTTCAATGGCACGATATCTCTAGACACCATTTGTAAATCACCTCTACATAACTACTCGAACAACAAGTGGGCCTCTTGTCTTGATGCATTGGCTTGTTCGATACCATTGACGCCCTACGATGGATACCGCTGTTCGGTTTGAGGCTGTGGGCCAAGTCTGTCTGCACCCGTTCCCCGAATGTCTAGAACAACGCCTACTGCCTCGAAATCGCTCACTAATGGGAAGTGTATCAGAATCCTGACTCGTCCTCGCTGTTGCCAAAGTCCCACTTCCGCGTCGTCAACTTCCTCACTTTCTTAGTAGTACCTGGAATCTTCGGCACGGATGCTTTTCTTGGTGAGTCATCCTGTGCTGACGGCCTAGCTCGCAGATCCAATTTATTCATTGAAGTGGAGAGCCCGTCTTCAAACATCGGAGCACCTTGAGAGGATTCGCTACCGCTCTTCCGCAAAGCGGACAAGAATGGATTCGATGCTGGATTGGTGTTTTCCTTGAGTGGAGTTGTGATGGGTTTGGTCTTTGCTGTTCTTGTCTTCGTCGGGCTCCGCAAGTTGAGCTGCCTCTCTAAGGCCTTGACCTTTCTCCTAAGTGCTTCATTTTCTCGTTGGATCTCCTCTCCAAGTTGCTGTTGGCTGTCTTCATGTACCTCTATCGTGACTCCCTTTTCTAGAATTTCGATCTTTCCGTCCAGATACCCCTCTGCTCTGACCCGTTCTTCTTCCTTCGCCATCCTCCATCTTTCTCGTTCGGCATCCATATCTGCTTCCATCTTCATCCAGCATTCTTCTCGGACTTCTTGCTCGATCAACAAAGCCCTTTCTTCGGCAGCCTGTAGTGCCGCTTGCAATTTCAGCTCAGCCTCGGATCGCTTATTCTCCTCTTCCGTCAAACGTACAGCCAATTGGTCACAATCTTCACTCAACCTTGCAATCTCATTAGCAGCTTGCTCAAGCTCCTCAGCGGTGAAAAGTTGCTCGCCATGCGGCGTTTGTCTACTATTGTGCTTAATTGTGTGATCTGGCCTGTTCAGAATTGTGCTGGTGACGGATGGAATTCGGGGCACGGTCACTTCCCTGGCTAATGCAGAATATCGCAAGATTTGGCTGGTGGCGTTGAAGTCTCCTTGCGGATCGGCGGTTACAATCATGATAGCCTTTTGCGGTGCTCGACCGGCGCATGATCCTGCAGAGAAGGAGTTGGAGAAAAGAAGCTCAGTCAATTTACATTGCCTGAACGGAACGATGGGCTTGCTGCCGTCATGTTGTTCACTCTGCACCTGCAAACATTGTCCGAGGTACATCAAACTCTCGTTGATCTTGCCAGCCTCAGCAAGGGTTGAACCGGTCGTCTTCGCATTTCGTGCACGTTCTGAACCTGCAAGGTCGACGATGGACAGTATCCCTCCGGTCCATATATCATTTTCGTACTGGCGAAAGCGGTTGTTGCGCTTGACCTCAATGCAGAAGAAACCATGACTCCGTGAGCTAGCTGTGTTACTTCCCGTACCTGCAACCCTCCTCTCAGCAAGACCAGTCTCCAGTATCATCATTGCCTCTTCATATGTTCCGCAAACAACCTTCCGTAGGCCAGCGACAAGTTTGCGATCCGGACTCATCTCGGTTGACTTAAAGAGAAGGGGCCGCCTCCGCAGGTCTTTCTGTAGAGCGGTACCCTGCCGTGTCGCTGTTGTTCCAACATTGTTCTGCATTGAAGAGGATAAGAGGTCAAAAATTCGGTCGTTGTACACTTCGTACATGGAGATCAGAACGACGTAGTCTGCAGATTGGTCCACTTCGGTTGTGAAAGTCGAGACATCAGGTTGGATAGGAAGGGCACTCGGTCGCGCAGGCAGAGGGCGTCTTGGAGCTAGCATCGATTCCTTACGAGTCTGTGTCTTAGTCAACGTTTTCTTCAGCTGTGGGGAGCGGTTCCAGAACGGCAGTTTTGAGGGAGCAATAACAGAAGCTCTGGGAGCCTCACTGACTGTGGGAAGAAGACGTATGGTGGTTTTAAAAGCGGGTGTTCTTGAGCTTCCATTTTCCGTAAACTGATCTGACGTGAACGACAGATTCGGGTCTCGAGCGACAGAAGCAAGTTTTGGATACAAAGATTGAGGGCCACAATCGTCATTGGGCTGAAAAGAAGGGAACGAGCCAGGAAGATGAGAGCTTGGGCCTACCATGGGAGTTTGTGACCTTGAAAAGGTTCCTGTGGCCATCGGAGTTTGTGCTCTCGAACCTCTTCCCCTATCTACGTCGCCATATATACTTTCGAGGAATGAGGTTGCTGATAAGACTTGAGCTTCTGAAGGATCGGAGGATTGTATTGAGGAGAGAAAACTTGAGTCGGTTGATTGATCCGCAACACGAACTCGAGTGCCGATTGAACGAAATAGCACATCGAGTGTCATTTGCGTGAGGCCGCGTTGCGAACGAGATCCAAGGATTGTGTGGCTCTACCCCACGTAAGCTGCGTGAGCTCGAACTGGATTTCATGTTTACCTTTCCACTGCCTGTAACGCCCAAAGTAGCCACGAGTCCATCTCTTCCACCATTCAAGATGTTCTTCACAAGTTGTACTGTTCCTGTAGATTCGAAGATGTCCAATTGTGTTGCCTCCTCCTCAAATACCTGTGTAAAACCAAATTTCTCAACCGCTCTTTTGCGAGAGTCACTCGGAGGCTGTAAAGTGATGTGTGTTGGTGCTGCATTGCTTGTATTTCCTTCCGACGATGTTGTAGGCGAAGGTGGTTCAACAATTAGCCACGGTTCCGGTTCATTCAATTTGTTTGTCTGATTTTGAAGGGCCGGTCGCAGTCTCAGGTAGACCTGGAAGAGTGACGTTTGTGCTAGCATTTTTGAGGATGATGCATCCATACTCGGATCCGAAATCTTTGGTTATGGTGCTCGATGAGGTCGCAAGCAGGTCATGCAGTACATAGTTGCAAGAACTGTAAACATTGCACGTCAGATCTTGGTGCGGAGCAACAGCCGAAGAATGCCCGACGAGAAATTCGTGGCTGACCGTGTCAAGTACATACTTGCAGACAGTCCTCAGAATTTCTACCTATTTCGACCAACTCACTCAACTATCTTGTTTGATCCTGAAGTACTACATGCTGGCATGAGCACTCTTGAAATTTTATGACGCCGACCTTTGTCGCAAGGAATACTTATTCTACCTTGAATTCTATCCTAAAATCCGTCCCCCTCCTTCCACTCCCTACCAGCTTCTGCAGCGCGATTTCTGGGGTCGTCACCTCGTCTAAATGCCTCCTCTTTTCGAGCGCTGAGCTCTTTGTTCAACTCATCACTCTGTTTTCGCAAAAACTTTAATGATTCCGAATCCTGGTCACCAGCATCCAATAACACACTAATTTCCGTATCAGACACTTCCCTTCTCTTTAATATGTCCATCCAATCCTGCAGTTGCTGTGCGCCACCAAAACAAGCTCCATACCCATCACAATAGCAGACATGCATTGCGGGACAGAACTCCGACACTCCCGCGAAAATATACTGCCACGTATACTCCATGATTCTACCTGATATTTCGTCCTCTAGATCCGTGTTTAAGAGCCATTCTCGATACCGAACGTACTGAGATAGCGGTATGGTGCGGATGCGCTCCTTCGACACCGCGAATTGCGCGCAACACGGTTGTGATATCGACGCTGGAAATGGAGCTCCAGGATGCAATTCTTGCCAAAGATCGCTCGTGAAATATCTTTCTTCAGTCTTCTTCACTAGATCCCATTCCTCCTCCGGCCTGTCGAGATGTAGCCAGTCAGGGCAACCAGGGTCATGGTGACAGCGGGCATTGAAGTATCCTTCCCGTGCGACTCGAGCATCACTGAGGCTTTCGATGGTAAAGGCAGTATCGAGGTTGAGGAGGATGTTGTTATGCCAAGTGCTCTTGTGAGAGTGAAAGAACAGGGACGTGTCGGGGAGGGTGTCATAGTGATCAATGATGTAGGTCAAGTACACCATTGCTTCGTGACCTTTATTCTTAGGGACTCTTAACGTGGCGAAGTCATCATCGACCACATAGATCGCTGTCTGTAGATCAGGCAACTCGTGCTCTATCCAAGAGGTGTCTTCACTCTTCAGCTTCCCCAAAACCAAGATGCGGCTGTAATTGGCACCCGCTGGTTTCGCATGACCTGGCTTGAAGACTGTTTCGTCCGGTCTAGAGGAAGATTCATTCACAGTGGGAATCGGTTGTACAAGGCTGGGAGCTGACAGGGGATTCGGCGGATGGTAGAGAGAGAGAATGACAAGGAATATGACCAGTGGCCCTAGTAGAAAGAAGTAGCGACGAGTGACCATCTCTCCATGTTATGTCATCTGAAATCTCTGTATTCTCGATCTCGTAGACGTTGTACGAATGTGGTCGGGAAGCTGAAAAGAAGCCGGTGCGTGGCCGCGAGCTGTTTTCTTATTAAACCTCTCTGAATGCCACAATTCATTGTCGGCCTTGCCGGCGTCTCTGCATCGGCAACGTCTGAAGGACATACTTAGATACAATCATTGCCAAAGTCGTCTACAGGGTGCATCAAGAAGAGTTTGTTGGTGGGCGTCCGCCAAGTCAATATCAGCAAAGCTTTTCCACGGAATTTTGTGGCCAGGTTTCCGAAACCCTCGACAACACGGGCGCCGCGTCCCAGATCATCCACATATTATACTACCATACCATCCTACAATCTTATTTGAACATCTAGTACTTCTCTGATTAGGGGCAACGCCCTCGCGTGATATCCCTTGTTTGTGTGTGGTTACTACGTGAGCAGCATCGCCAATTGCTTGTTGTTAGGGGATAGGTCTGTTCGAAAAAAATCTTTACAGCAGGTATTCTCGAAAACAACAGCAATCCTGACCGGTAGTTACTAGAATCGCACCCGCAATGAATGAATGTTTGTACTAGAGGTCGCTTAATGCACTTGGAGCCCACCTCACCGCCCAAGCCCGCCAACTACTATCTCAATCTCTTCTACAAGCTTTCTCGGCATGATATCAGTCTGGACGAGAACAGTACGAAGGAGAAAGTGGGGTACCTGTTGCACCGTGTCGTACTCCTGGCATCAGCCATGAACTAGATGGGAAGAAACTGGCACTCACAATCTCTATCAAGAACTATCGTAGGCCCAAAAGTCCCGACGTCAACGGCTCACTCGTACACCTTTGCGTGATCCTCACCAAATTCTCAGATACCTTTCGCCAGATCCGATCCTCCATCCATCCCGGTCTCATTGCCTGCACCATATCCTTTCTCTGCGTATCTCTTTGTATCTTTCCCCATGGGACGAAATAAGCGCCGTTGTCGTTCGGCGTAATTTCTGTGGAAAGGCCAGCGTACAGTTAGGTGTATGCTCCGTACACCGTCTCATATAGTATTAGACTGAGGAGGACCATGGCAATTTTGGGCACGTGTCTCTTCACGTTCGACTTCAGATTGCCAGGATTTGGCAACACGCTGACGATACCTTTCCCGCCGAAGCGCTGCGCTCCTTAACCCGCTAGCAACAATCCCTCCTTTAGGCGACTGCGATTCGGCCATCCAGGAACTAGCTCAGAGGATACGCACGCTGCCTTCTAGCGAGGAGGCTGCAGCAGCAGCGCGGAGCTGGGGAAAAAGGAGGAGAATGCAGAACAAGGCGTGGTGCATTGAAGTGGCTATCTTGTTTCGGAAGGATATTTCTAGTTAGCCGAGGGTCTCCAGAGGGAGACCAATGTGATCAGGAGCTTCTCAGAGTCATGGTGGGGAGCCGCTGCGGATAGACAGATGACGAAGTCCAAGGTCGCTGGTCACCAAGTCTTCGATGGTCGAGACTGCTTGGTAATTTCCACCCAGGCACGGCAGCAGTCGATAAATAAGATTGACGCAGTGTGTCACAGGCAGCTCCACATACCCCGAGGAAACAGATCACATTTGTGACACATTTTCAAAATCAACCTAGAAGAAGGATCTGAGCAATCAAGAGACTTGGCAAAATCTCGTCCACTATGTTATCAATCGGCCAGACAGTGTGTTGGTAAAATCAAGCGCTTTTAGTGTAGTAAGAGCTTAGTTGGTTGTTGCCCAGTACTCTGTATCCCCTCCGTACCCGAATTGTCAATTAGCGTAAAATGCCCAAATTAAGCTTTTTTGAGCTGCATTTGATCTGCACAGCTCTCCGCAGCTGACTTTGTTATTTTATTTTCAACCACGAATTATGCTACGACCACAGCGAATTATTCAAATCCCTTTGAGATATAGATCAGAATCACCTCCGCGATTCGAACAAGCTATCAAACAGCCAAAACGACGAAGAATTGACCCTGCTGCAATCGATCGAAATGATGTCGATCAGGCCTTGGCAGTGATTGCTCCTGCGCCAGAATGTACAGATGAACTGCCTATATTGATACCAACAGAACTGCCTCAATTTGAGGCTAATTACGTTCCAAATCGAACAGGAGCTCCTCAATACTCTAATCTATCGGAATTAGGCTTTTTTGAGCTCTTCTTTAGCCCAATTATGATAGAAATCATCTCCAAAGAAACCAATTCGTACGCCAAAATCCATCGTCAAAACGTTCCTCATCCTCTCAGCAAAGACTGCCATTGGGTACCTACTACGCCGGCTGAAATACGTGTATATCT